TGGAAAGTTGCTAATGTGATACCAATTTTTAAGAAAGGAGATAGATCACTTGCGTCAAACTATCGACCAATTAACCTAACGTCTATTGTGGGAAAGTTACTTGAATCGATAATTGCAAATAAAATTCGTCATCTTGAAAAACACAAATTAATAAATGAGTCGCAACATGGTTTTACAAATGGCCGTTCATGTTTAACAAATTTGCTATCTTTTTATTCCAGCATAGTTGAGGCAGTTGATAGTGGTAAGGATTGTGATGTCGTGTACCTTGACTTTAGCAAAGCTTTTGATACGGTGCCACATGAAAGACTAATTAAAAAAATAGAAGCTCATGGTATTGGGGGTACTATATTAAGTTGGATTAGGGCATGGCTATTCCAAAGGGAACAGAGAGTTAGTATAAATGGGGTTAAGTCAGGGTGGGAAAATGTTGTAAGTGGAGTGCCTCAAGACTCTGTCCTGGGACCTCTGTTGTTTATAATATATATCAATGATTTAGATTCAGGTTTGAGTAGCAACATTTACAAATTTGCCGATGATACAAAAATCCGAAGGGAAATTAACACGGAAGACGACTCGCTATCTCTTCAAGTTGACCTAAATAGGGTTTTGAAATGGTCAAAGGATTGGCAGATGCAGTTTAATGCTGATAAATGTAAAGTTTTGAGGCTAGGTAATGATGATAGTTTTAAATATCAGGAATTTCTTTTTCAGGTTTATTAAACAATATAGATTTTATACAAAATTTTAAAATATCCTGAGTTTCTTTACAATTTATTAATATATTTTAGTTTTGTTTTATTAGTTTTATAAAACTGTAATATCAATATAGCTAAAGGTTAAGTATTAATTGTAATTAAGAAGCAATAAAATTATTATCTTCAAAAACTAAGATGGTTAGGTGAGGTTGTGGTTTTCAATTCAGTTTTTCAGGTAAACTCAAATATTCACAATATTTTTGACAGTACGATTTAATACTAAGTGAAAATAAGTACAATTCCTAACTGCTATGAATAGTACATACAGTAATTGCACTTATTTGTCTCCTTACATTTACCACCCCATTTTTGGAGGAAGGGCTGCATATGCATATATTCTGTAGGGAATGTTCTGTATGCATATATATACTGTAGGGAATGTTCTGTATGCATATATATACTGTAGGGAATGTTCTGTATGCATATATATACTGTAGGGAATGTTCTGTATGCATATATATACTGTAGGGAATGTTCTGTATGCATATATATACTGTAGGGAATGTTCTGTATGCATATATATACTGTAGGGAATTCTATTGCAAACACATTGATACCAAAATGAAAAACCTAGGACAAGAATTCACATGACAAAATTGAAAGTGAAAACCAAAATTGAAAAACCACACGCTGCTGTGGAATGCCCGGCCCAGCATAACATGAAGGTGCAAATTTGACATATAGGTACTAATTCATCATGTTAATTATATCAAAAAATCCAAACCCCTCATACAGTTGACATTGTTAATAAGTTTGTCTCCAATTAGGCTATGGAGCTGGATTCAGAGGCAATCACAAAATTATTTGGATCTATTTGGGTCTATTTGGCACATGGGATTTCTTGCCAATCCTAATTATAATGCACTTTACATCCTCCAATCTGGTTCCAATCTTGAATGGAACAATCTTGAATGGATTAAATATCAGCACATTTGGTCAAATCCTCCCCGTCTCAAAAAAAAAAAAATTGTATAAAAATATATAATGGTACATTACATCTTCATTAGATATTATGAACATACCTGCCATCTTTGAACAAAGTGCCTAATATGGGTACTCACCAAGGGTCCAGACGTTCCTCCAAATATGTTCTTCGACTGATGTTCAGGAGAGTATATAATAATGTTATGTAGATTCCAGTTATGTTGGGGTTGCAAGAATGCAACGCATTTACCCTGGCTAGCTCATTTTCACGCCAATGTTACCCTGGCTAGCTCATTTTCACGTCAATGTTACCTTGGCTAGCTCATTTTCACGCCAATGTTACCTTGGCTACCTCATTTTCACGCCAATGTTACCCTGGCTACCTCATTTTCACGTCAATGTTACCCTGGCTAGCTCATTTTCATCTTACTGTGGCTAGCTCATTTTCATGTCAACATGAGCTGTTATCAAGAAATAATGCCACTTTGCTGCTCTCTGGCAAGACCATAAGAATTAAGGCAACAGCTGGAGGCCTATACTGGCCCATGTGGCAGCAGCTCCTCGCATCAGCCTAACCTCATTCATGTCTCACCTATACCGGTCACCCCAAACTTCTCTATACTCTTTAAAGGGCCGTATTACGAAAATATGCAATTAATGAAAACTAGTTCGATTTCAATCAAACTTTTTTGACTAATTGTATATGATATTGGGTTCAACTGGTCCACGTCTCGGCATCGTAGCATAAATAGGGAGAAAAAAATATTGAATTGTCAAAAAATTTCCAAAATGGTAAAAAATTTACATCAAATACAAGTATCAACTGAAATCATGTCTATGTCTAAGCTATCACAATAGCATATAAAAGCATTTTAATATTTAGTTTTATGAAAAAAAAAATAGATTTTTCCTATTTTTTATCGGGCAATTTGAATGAAACTTGTACACCTAACAATACTATCTGTAAGGGTGCAAATTTGGGAGGAAATTGGTTGATGTCAACCTCAACCACAGGGGGTAGAATCTTTGACTATTTTATTGTCAAGTAACGTAAAATTGACAATTTTTTTGCCAACTTGCATGAAAATTACACCTTATATGTAGAGTGAATGTCTCTACAATACACACAGAAATCACAATAGCGTGATAATGCGATTGTCTCTACAATCTCTATGAAACACTTATTCCAAAGTTCATTTACTGATTTGATAAATATTTGCAAACATGATATATTGGCATAAATTTTGGGGGAACTTTGACTATTTGTATTAGTAAAACTAAACATATTTTCGATAATCCTTCTTATACAACTCCTTTATTATATGCTAATGTGATAGATGAGTGTCATAGAAATAATTTCATTTGAAACCTGTGGTTGTAAGGAATTATTGAAAATGTGTAAAATTAGTTAAAAATAAAATTCCTCCTTTTCTATTTAGGTGCGATACTGAAACGTAGGACAGTTGCAGCCCTTTTTATATACAACTAGTAAAAAAGTTTTAACGTTTTTAACGTAAAAGTTTTTTTCTTTTTAAAAAAAGAACTTTTAATTTACTGTAATCCGGCCCCATTCATCACGTCACTCAATGTTACCCAATACTTTTCAAGTGAACCTGCAACTCGTGTATTAATTAACACTATCGCTCGCTTTGGACACCGATCACGCCCATTTTTTTTTTAGAGTCCTAGCCGTGGACAAGACTTGTGTCCACTACAAAATTATTTGTATAGAATTCATTTTTATCCGATCGACCTCGGGATAGTTTCAAAATATGCGCCTTTAGAATGCGCACAATTCGATACCAAAATGAAAGATGTAACACGAAACTTGATGTCAGAACACTTGAAAGATTATAAATACGTTTTTAGGTCTAAATATTAAATTTTAAAATATGATAAAATTCTATTTATTGTGCTATTATTATGGGACTAGTTTTAAAATGTGTGCCTTTATATTGCGAACAATCTGATACCAAAACGAGCGACGTAACATGAAAATTGATGTTATCAAACTGAACAAGTATACACAGGGGACACAGGTGGAAACTGAGTGCCCAAATGAGCCAGAGATATTAGAAAGAACTTTTTTAGTGTCAGAGTGGTTGACAAATGGAATGCATTAGGAAGTGATGTGGTGGAGGCTGAATCCATACACAGTTTCAAGTGTAGATATGATAGAGCCCAATAGGCTCAGGAACCTGTACACCTGTTGATTGACGGTTGAGAGGCGGGACCAAAGAGCCAGAGCTCGACCCCCGCAAGCACAACTAGGCGAGTACATTAGGTTGTGGTGTGCAAATTGGTGCTCGTTCACGGGTAACTTTAGGCTTTGCTGTGGGTAGTCACTCCGGGCTTTTGGACATTCTATGATGTGCACCTGCAGGGAATTTAATTGTGAACACAATGATACCAAAACGAACGACGTAGCACAAGAATTAAGGTGAGAAAACTGAAACGAGTATACACATTTAGGTGTCACCGCACGCTCGCTCACACCATTAGCCCCATTGCGTCAAAGTCTGAGGTGATCACGTGCCGCACGCGATAGTGTTAAATTACCTTGAAACAATTTACGAAATATGGCTGTGTTAGGCCGAGCCTTACGAGCCACAAGGAGACACCTGTTAACCTAAAATATTGCTCAAGACCACACGACGGAAGGACACTGCAGAATGCCTATTGGTCCTCATGTTCATAACATAGGAATAAAGGAACTGATAACTGGCCCAATGTATTTAGTATTACTCAAAGTTTAGTATTACTACTCCTGTTGGAATACCAGATTCAATTATCTTCATGATCTATTTTTTGCTTAACATTCATCACCCTTTTCTTGGTTTCACCTCTTGTTGAAACACTGGACAAAATTCCCCACATTTCTCAAAGCCATCATGGCAGAATGCAATATATACATACACTGTATATTCGGCGAAATAAAACAAGAGGGATAAATTATGGCCAGCCACATAAGGGGCATAACTGGCCGACCCCTCACAGTGTTCAAGAGAGAACTGGATAAGCACCTCCAAAGGATACCTGATCAACCAGGCTGTGACTCGTACGTCAGGCTGCGAGCAGCCGCGTCCAACAGCCTGGTTGATCAGTCTGGCAACCAGGAGGCCTGGTCAACGACCGGGCCGCGGGGACGCTAAGCCCCGGAAGCACCTCAAGGTAGCCACCAAAACAAACAGGTCGCACTACCAAATCCAGGCCAGCTGCCAAATTATATACTGTATTGTCCCAGGAGGGTGGAGGACGCACATCACGAATGCAAATGCATGGAACAAATAAATGGACATTTGAAAGTCGAACTAGGAGTTGGGCCGTGTATTTTGTTATGCTGTATTACATCCATGTTTTAGCACAACTTCCTTTATTCTAATATTCTTACAAGTAAAATCCCAAATGTTAAACTAAGTGTCCCTAGCAAATTTGTGGGAGAAGAAAACTTAAATAGTACAAGTAGAGGAAATAAAGTAACAAATCAAGTCAGAGGGCAACAACTGCACTGTAATGAAAAATGTAATACTTGGTACAGTAAATTGTGTATCTAGTACAAAGTGAATAACCGCAGAGAGTACTAGGCGAGTACACCTGAAAACTTACTTAGGTGTAAAAACAGCAGATGACGGGATGAGTCAACCATTTTGCTGTGCATGTACACAATATATTTTGAAACTACCAATTTCAAAGACCACTTTACAAGTGTCTCGGAATAGCTGACACACCAAGGAATGTGTCAAGCTAGAATAACCTGGCAGCGAGGCTAACAATCTTTCGGTGTTGTGAACGACGTTCGTTCCGTCTCCTTTGAAGGACAATGCTTCAAATAGGCTTCGGTGTAAACAGAAATGCCTCTAGCAATGAGGGAGCAGACCTTTGCACTGCGCTCCACATCAGGATCCTGGTTTAGAACACCCAGTGTTCTGTGCAGCTGTTCCAAGATACACTTGATATCTTCTTTTTGTAGACGTGCAACATCGGGCATAGCCGAGAAGTTTGCTGCCAATTCCTCAACCTTAATGTTTGACAGAAGATTCATATCATCGACTGAGAGCTCCTCCCCGTGAGAATCGAGATATTCATTTACATCTTCTCTGGTAATATTGCTAAAGCCACCACTAGGAATGCTCCTTGCAATATCAACAATTTCTTGCACCTCTCGTTTGGTGTCAGAGAAGCCAGGGAAGTCCTTGACAACATCTAGCCACAAGTTCTGCCACACTGAATTCAGCGTCTCTTTGGTTACAGCAGACCAACACTCATGAACACACACAATGCAATCCTTAATTGTGTACAACTTCCAGAAATCCATCGCCAAAGTGGCATGTTTACCTCCACTTGCCGACAGAAGCTTCTGCAAAATTGACTTTAAATACAGTCGTTTAAATTGGGCAACAACACCTTGGTCCCTAGGCTGTATAAGGGACGTGGCATGCTTAGGCAAGAATATGACTTTGATCGTGTCATGGATGTCATTAAGGTACTCTGGGTGACAAGGAGCATTATCCACTAAAATTAAGGCCTTTTCGGAGAGATTCTTCCGTAGGAAATAATTCTGTAATGTAGGGATGACGTAATTAACAAACCAGTCTTCCAATAAAAAAGCAGTTAGGCATGACATTTTGTTAGACCTCCAGAGGACTGGTAGCCTAGACATCATAGTGCCCTTCAAAGCATAAGGTTGAGGCAAGTGATAGATCAGCATGGGTTTCAACTTCAAATTGCCAGAAGCATTGGCACACAACAGTAGTGTCAGAGGGTCTTTAGAAGCTTGCAACTCTGGCGACCACTGTTCTTCACCAATAAACATCCCACTTGGAAGACGCTTCCAGTACAGTCCAGTCACGTCAGCATTGAACACTTGATCAGGGCTATAGCCATCTCCCAAATCCAATAGCTTTGGAATAAATTCTCGAGCTGCAGCCACGTTAACTGCATCGTCATTACCACCATCTCTCGGGTCAAGCACATTTGACAGGACCTCGCTGGGAACAATGTTATTTGCATCCATGACGCCATCTCTTGGACCTAACTCTGAAAACAGCGGCCCCATGGAACCCGCGTCACTCTCAATCTTTGGCACCCTAGAAAATAACATTTTAGCATCTATCTCATCATTCACTCTAACCAACCCTTTACTTTTAAGAGACTGTTTAGAAATGCTAAAGCATTTTTTAAATCGTTCCACCCAACCTGCACTGAACAGAGGGACTTCGCCAAGGTACCGATCACCAGATATACGCCGATAAATCTGCCGAGCCTGTTCCTCGATCTCTCGACTACACAAATAAATACCCTTCTCTGCGAGTCTTCTTAACAGTAGTGCCAAAGTAGATTCAAGTTTCCTACATATAGGATACTCAATGAACTTGATTTTTCTAGGTACAACTGTTAAGTGACGGGCCCTGCGTAATTCTGCTTCATTCTTCTTGAAACATTCAATTGAGGATAAGGCGAGATTGTACTCGCTAGCGATATGCCGCACAGACTCCCCATTCTTGATCCTATCCAACACATGCAATATAAATTCAAGGGATGTTGGTTCATTCTTGGAAAGAGATGGAGAAGCAGCAGCAGGTAATCTGCCATTGTCTTGGGGACTAGCCGTGACACCTGCAATCCAAAGAGTGGATCAATGAACACAAGATTAACATGTCCCCATTAGTGTCTACATCTATCAAGTGTTATAAGTGATGCTACAAAACCACCTCTTGGGTGGGGGGGGGGGTAAAAATGGCACTGTTTATGCATGTTTAACAGTGCCAGATGTAAATGAGCCACACTAGGTGGCCAAGAATGCCAAAGTCTTTATTGCATCGCACAATCAACCTGAACAGCATTTCTAGCCATTCTTAATACTGTACCAATAATAAAGAATAGTGTACATCTAACGTGGTAAACAATTCAAACACAATGTAACAACTTGCAATGAGACATCAGTCCAAGTGTTCTATTATCAGATTTCCATCCGATACACAACAAAATGATCTATAAATTAATGTACAATAATATTCTAACTTCAAAAACTTGAACTTTTTTTTTTACTCATTAGAATTCTGTGACAAAATAGGTAACAATTAAATTGATAATAAACATTCATGCAGTCGAGACAAAACTGAAGTGGACATGCCCAACGTGACCCGGGGTATGACATTGAATACATCTGCCTGACAAGTGGACAAGTAGTACTGTATACAATAATTTTAATATAAACTTTATATTAAATGTTTTCATTTCGCTTGTGATATACTCTCAAGGTGAAATAGTGTGTGCTGGTCTAAGCCATAAATATTGTCAAAAGGGACACAAATTTGCCATTGGGGTACAGTAAAGTCGAATGACTTTACACATCATTTTTTTAATTGTTAAAACTATATATTGTTACCCCGAGCTCAATACAGCATTAATATGTGCTAGCGAGTTGTCCGATGCGAATTGACCCTTATCTTTCCTATTCTACAGTGAAATACACTAAATGGCTGGCAACGAGCTGTCTAACGTTAATAGCGTCATAGCATTAATGTGTGCTAGCGAGTGGACAGCGCTTCGGATTCATAGTCCTGAGGTTCCGGGTTCAATCCCTGGTGGAGGCGGAGACAAATGGGCAAAATGTTTCTTTCACTCTGATGCCCCTGTTACCTAGCAGTAAATAGGTACCTGGGAGTTAGACAGCTACTAAGGCTGCTTCCTGGGGGTGGAGGTCTGGTCGAGGACCGGGCCGCGGGGACACTTAAGCCCCGAAATCATCTCAAGATAACGAGTATCTCATTTTTTTTTTCAAAAGCCCTATTGAAATCTTAGCCTTCACTACCACCTACATCCACAAAGCACCTCCTCTTCATACTAAGTTCACCATTAAGTCTTAGCCAGCAATTGTCAATTGTTAATTTACAGAGTAATGCAGTTATCATATGAAGATTTTAAACAATTGTCTGGGTTTAACATGAATGATACAGACATAATTGATCCATGTGGATGTAACTTCATTTACCGTGACCCATGAACAAAATCCTACCACCATTTCATGGTACAAAGGCAGTCACTGTCACGAATGTCACTAGAGGAATGCCGTCACTGTCACGAATGTCACTAGAGGAATGCCGTCACTGTCACGAATGTCACTAGAGGAATGCCGTCACTGTCACGAATGTCAATAGAGGAATGCCGTCACTCGTATAATTATTTAAGCAATTATTGTCAGTTTTACATGTCTGATGCAAATATGGTTATAAAAGATCTTTGTGGATGCAAATAAAGAAAAACCAAATGGTAAAACATATTGGAGGATAAAACAGGAAGCGCAGACAAAGCACCAGGCGTTGACATGTTGACTACACCACGCACTAGAAAGTGAAGGGACGACGACTTTTCGGTCCGTCTTGGACCATTCTCAAGTCGATTGTGAGAATGATCGTCACAATCAACTTGAGAATGGTCCAGGACGGACCGAAAAGTCGTCCTCCCTTCACCTCCTAGTGTGTGGTCTGGTCAACATATTTCAGCCACGTTATTGCGACTCCTCGTCTGCAGGCGTCGACATGTTACAAGGTCAATGTCGGACCAAAAGTAGAGCCAACACTAAAAATAAAAAAAACATTAAAAGTATCTGGGAAGTTCACAATAATGTCTGACCCAAAGAGACTATACTATGAAGGCTGTTAAGGGAACCAACTCTTGGAGAGATACGAACGTGTGCAAAATATCCGACATGTATCTCTACAACCTCGAGGAGGCCTGGTTGAGAACCGGGCCGCGGCACGCTAAGCCCCAGAACCATCTCAAGGTAACCTAACCTCAGCCGCAAAGTCAATAAAAAAGGAAAACGAGAAAATTACACACGCCAGGCACGTAGTTTAGTTAGGTGCTGCCTAGAGCATTAAGACATCAATACCTCCTTGACCTCTAGAGGCAAGGTTCACTAGGTGTATACAGTGCTGAACACAACGGGACAATCAGCCGTGAGGCGGCTTTTTCCATAGCCTCGGGATAGTCTAAAACCAAAATGTATCAACATGCCTGAAATGACCATATTCCCTATCCCACCGCCCACCTCCAATATTCAAATTAATTTTATTTTCATTCGGGTCAAGGTACATAGAGGTTGACTTTCAAACAAACATGCTATCCCACAGAAACCACCTCCATACCATGCCCTTCCCATATACCACACTATGGAGGGGGCATGAACCACACCATGGGTTCATGCCCCTCATAAACCACACCATACCCTCCTAAAACCCCACCAATACCCCCACCACGACGTTAAACCCAAACAAACCCCCACCAACCCAAACCCCACCACGGCACTAGACCACCCCAACACCACGTTTCCACAACATTCCACCACCACCTCCTCCCACCCTTATTTCCCGCGTCCCCCGCCTCACAACCCCGGCACGCGGGTGCCAGGGGGTGCCAGGAGTGCCAGGGCATGGGCGTGAGGGGTGCCGGGGCTCACCCGGGGTGGGCACGTGGGCGTAAGAGGTCAAAACAGGCGGAGAGAGACTCACAGTGATGGCGGGCAGCGCAGAAGAGGTTGTTGTTGGTGGCGAGAGCGGCGAGGCCAGCGCCCGCCGGCCCGATGGTTCTTTTCCCCGCTCCCACGGCTCATATTATTACCTCCTCACTCATTATATTATGCTTCTCTACGCCCACTTGGTCTCGTTATTATCATTGTTGTTATTATTATTATTCTCGGCTATGTTATTGCGGTTATAATGAATTTTACTCCCCATGGGAAATTGGGGATGTGGAGGCAGACTATATATAAAGACTAAATATAAAATAGGTTATATATAAAATCCGTATTACTCGTCGGCTCTTACTTCTTTTAAAATATTATTACTTCTCTCATCTATCTATATTATACATGAGAGTTATACCCATTATATTGGTGCTTCTATTATACATGAGAGTTATACCCATTATATTGGTGCTTCTATTTAAGTGTCTGTCTCATTAAACCTTTCATGATTCTTACTATTTTATCTTAAATTATCTCCGAAATGCGCACTGCGTATTAATGGCTTTATGCACAGTACTTCTCTTACCTATGTTCATTCTCGACTTACAATTGAGAATTCCCGGTTCGAATCCCGGGCGGGACGGTTGAGCACGTTTCCTATCACCTAATGAACCTGTTCACCTAGCAGTAAAAGATACCCCAAGAGGTAGTCAGGTTGTTGAGGGGGTTGCATCCTGGGGGAGGGTCAGCAATTCCACCCACCTAAGTCCACCATAAGCCTACCATGTATATATATACACTGGCTGCCTGTCCCCCGATAGTGTATTATTATGTCAATAAATTATTAGTTGTACTAGTATTAACATTATTATTTTTATTAGTTTGGATAAAACCCCACACTTGTGTATTTGTGAAATTTCTGTAATTTACACCAAGTCTTTCACACTCTACTGAGTGCTTTGTCAAGGTCTGAGTGTGTGGTGAGGACAAGACTTACATCTCAACGTCTTACATTTGGTTAGATGTTGAGATACAAGTCTCGTCCTAACCACATCCTCCAAATTATTCAGTAATTTATTAAAGTTTCAATGAGATCAGCCCATTTTCTTTATTTAACCTTTGTACTTGTGATTTGGTTTGCATGTCTCAACTCCTTTGACTCTCAATTCTTTGTCATTTTTACACTGTTGTTGTTTCACTGTGATATACTCATATATGTAAATATTGTTATACTCATCCAGAAATTTTAAGGGTCGTGCACCTCTGAATACATTACTTCTGTGCCACTAACATACATAACCTCCCTTTTATAACATACATAAGGGGGAGCCGGTCGGCCGAGCGGACAGCACGCTGGACTTCTGATCCTGTGGTCCCGAGTTCGATCCCGGGCACCGGCGAGAAACAATAGGCAGAGTTTCTTTCACCCTATGCCCCTGTTACCTAGCAGTAAAATAGGTACCTGGGTGTTAGTCAGCCGTCACGGGCTGCTTCCTGGGGGTGGAGGCCTGGTCGAGGACCGGGCCACGGGGACACTAAAGCCCCAAAATCATCTCAAGATAACCTTAAAATAACCTCCCTACCTCGGAAATGCTTAGATCCTTCACTTCATCAATCAACTTCTTTATCATTATCTTAATATTTTGTTGATCTGATATTACTTTTAGTTTTTACAAGGTTTCTTACAATGAGGTTATTTTTTCACTTTTCTCTCGCTTCTCTCGCTTCATGCAGGTTCTTGCTTCATGCAGATTGGGACTCAATCCCAAACTGTCCAAGTAGTTGGGCACCATTCCTTACCTCCATCCGACCCCATCCCAGATCCTTATCCTGGTCCATACCATGCGAAGGGCCATAGTTGTAATGGCGTGATGCTTTCTCTTGATAGTTCCCTTTCATTCTCTCTAAAACTTCTGAATCTCTTTGATCAACTCTTATCTGTATACCCAGTGTTTTCTCTGTTGGCGTTCCCTCCACACACTCCTGAGCATCATGCCCCGACGGGAGACATCTCCCGTCACGCAGGATGCAGTCGCACCTCCACAGATCTCCAGTATCAGCTATTGATACTGGTAATGGCTCAAAAGGGCCACCACTTACGGGCTATTCATGCCCGTGCCACCTTTTGGGTGGTTTAATCTTCATCATCATCATCATCATGCCCCAAGATTACTTTTTATTGTCCACTGATGATCGTGAAACTGTTTTATCAGATCCTTGTGACCATATTGTAGGTCTTTTACTTTTATTACAACATTCTTCTTTAATCTCATCAATTGTTACCTCTTGACTAATTATGGTACTGCTCAGTTTATTCAATTTCTCATTTCATGCAATGCAGCAGATGTCTTCGGTTTCCTTTTTGTTGTAGGCATTATATTATACATCTGAATATCCTGGATCCTAAACCATTATTACGAACCCCACATTTGCTATAATTGCTTGTCATCAATGTACTTTCTAATGTCTTAATTAATAGGACTAAGATATATATATATATATATATATATATATATATATATATATATATATATATATATATATATATATATATATATATATATATGTCGTACCTAGTAGCCAGAACGCACTTCTCAGCCTACTATGCAAGGCCCGATTTGCCTAATAAGCCAAGTTTTCCTGAATTAATATATTTTCTCTAATTTTTTTCTTATGAAATGATAAAGCTACCCATTTCATAATGTATAAGGTCACTTTTTTGTTATTTTAGTTAAAATTAACGTAGATATATGACCGAACCTAACCAACCCTACCTAACCTAACCTAACCTATCTTTATAGGTTAGGTTAGGTAGCCGAAAAAGTTAGGTTAGGTAGTCGAAAAACAATTAATTCATGAAAACTTGGCTTATTAGGCAAATCGGGCCTAGCATAGTAGGCTGAGAAGTGAGTTCTGGCTACTAGGTACGACATATATATATATATATATATATATATATATTTATTTATTTTCAGTCCTTCTGAAGATAATATACGAAAGTACTTAAGGAAATTCCTGTTTCAATTTTCCTCCGAGGTCTGACACTATCACATTTTTAATCACATGTTTATTTTTCGTGATTTACACACACACACACATATATACATATTATATGTTGTGACGATAATCTCCTTCAAGAGATTGAGCCTGCTCTTCCCTCCAAAATACGTCGCTACAAATCTATAAAACTAGTATGGAAGAAATATCCAACAACGACAACAACACCAAGTTTTGCCAGAAGCGCAAAACGTATGCAGCCAGGAACACCTGCTCCACCTCGAACCACCAAACTACCTGTCTTGTCGCCTGCTCATCACTGATTGGCTGCGGGTCCAGTTGCAACTGCACTCCACCCACCACACTACTTGATGTCTGGGGCCGCCCCGACCTCAGTTCTCAGAATATCCAGTGCTTTCATCAGGTTAACACGTCTCGTTGGTAGACTAAGCTGTGGCTTACGTGTACTAAGAGAGGTGATAGCTTAAAGCCAATATTCCTGCACCTCTTATTTGATTGTATATTGCTCGCTTGTTATTACTCACTTGTCTTAATGTAACTTTTCATTTTGTCATTTGATTATTCTTACTATTTTGATTGATTGATTTTATTATACGAATTTGTATGTACATTTTATTCATGTTTTGCTTTTCTAACGTAATTAAAATTTCATTGTTAAATTTACTTGTGTTTTGTGTGTCTTCTCATTACCTTACCACAGACGAAGTTCCAGATTTTCTATTTTTGTTTCTATATGTGACGAGGCCATACCCCTAGCTTTTGAACAGCCGAACACCAACGCGTTACCGTCACAATGTGTATATATATATATATATATATATATATATATATATATATATATATATATATATATATATATATATATATAGTCGTACTATGCAAGGCCCGATTTGCCTAATAAGCCAAGTTTTCATGAATTAATTGTTTTTCGACTACCTAACCTACCTAACCTAACCTAACTTTTTTCGGCTACATAACCTAACCTAACCTATAAAGATAGGTTAGGTTAGGTTTGGTAGGGTTGGTTAGGTTCGGTCATATATCTACGTTAATTTCAACTACAATAACAAAAATTTACCTCATTCATAATAAAATGGGTAGCTTTATCATTTCATAAGAAAAAAATTAGAGAAAATATATTAATTCAGGAAAACTTGGCTTATTAGGCAAATCGGGCCTTGCATAGTAGGCTGAGAAGTGCGTTCTGGCTACTAGGTACGACATATATATATATATATATATATATATATATATATATATATATATATATATATATATATATATATATATATATATATATGCGAACAAGCCTGAATGGTCCCCAGGACTATATGCGAATGAAAACTCACACCCCAGAAGTGACTCGAACCCATACTCCCAGAAGCAACGCAACTGGTAACTACAGGGCGCCTTAATCCGCTTGACCATCACATATATATATATATATATATATATATATATATATATATATTATTCAGTACAGTAGTTTTGTCCATCGAGGATAAGTGGGAGCAATAAGTACAGAGGTTTATGTCCTTAATACTCAAACGGAGATCCCAAATTTGATCCTCCGGCGAGACAGTAGTAGTTGGGTACGTATTCTTTCACCTGGTGCTTCATCGAACACTGTTTATGTAGAGCAGATGTAAATATGTGTATTTATGTATTTAGGTTTAGTTAAGCATTTTATAAGCACTACAATCACCTTCTGTGGTTGATTGATGTTCAATAAATCACTGAACTATATGTTTAACAGATCTCTAACCCCTGTCCAAGAAGGACAGAAGAAAATATATATATATGTTGGTTAGCATTGTAAATGTGTGGCCATGTCTGTGGTAGAAAAAAAAAACTGGTGCCTCTGTATTCCTAACTCTAAATAGGTACCTGGGACTTAGGCAACTATTGTGGGTTGTATCCTGGGGAAGGTCAGTAATTTGCCTATGGGTGGACTTTGATAAGCTACAGTACAGGCTTCCTGTAACCTGACAACAGAAATTATTAACATTATTATTAATTCAGGCATGACCTGGGGTAAATATGGTTGAGAAAAAGACTTGATTTATGGAACAAATTACCGGGTACTGTAATACTGTAGGCATGGAATCATTGCATTATTTCAAGCATAGGTTAGACATGTATATGAATGAGTTTGGTAGATATACTTTACATAGGAGTCATCTTGTACAGGCAATAAGTTTTCTGTAATTTCCTGAATTATTATGTTCTTAACAGAAAAGACCACAAGTTTGCAGAAGAGAAAGTTTGACCAGCCAAGCTTTTGACCCGAGTGTTGAGACAATGACAGTGTCTGATAAATAATATTCAATATATGCATGTTTTTTGTGCATTACAGTATTACTATATGAAATGTACATTTCAGTTTAGGACCATAATTAGATCATATTTCCTTAATTATAACAAATCAAGAGGAACAGAAGCTGGTCCTTCTCGAGTCCACAGAAAACTATTTTTGAAAGTCCTCAGGTACATTGCATTTTAATAAATGAGGCTATATTATATACCATAATCTTCTTGCATATCAATTAACTAATCAATAAATGAATTTCTTTTGTCGGGGACAAGAAGCCTGTACATACTGTATATACTTTAGGCTATATAGGCTACTTTAGGATCGAAGTCTTCCCCAGGTCGAACTACTGACCCTCCCAAGGATGCAACCCCACAACAGTTGCCTAACTGTCGAGGAATGTACCTATTTACTGCTAGGTGAACTAGTGTATCAGGTGAAAGGAAATGTGCCCAATCATTTCTCTCCCATCTGGAGATCGAACCTGGATCCTCTATTCTACTACAGAGACCCTTAAATGAATTGTACAAATTTATATATACCTGTACTACGTACTAAATTAGGCATGTCCCTTCAGTTTTATTTAATTTACAAAGTACAATACAGGTACAGTACAGTAAAATACAGAACTGTAAATGAGATCAAACAAAACATCGAGCACAAACATCCTACCTTTCTGATGCTGGTGACACGGTGGTATAGGACGTGAACTGGACGACTGAACACCAACAACATTAGTACTAACACCATCGATAGTATGAATGCTGGCACGGTCTATTGCACAGAATGTTGTAGTATTAGAAACATCCGCCACAGTAGTTCTAATGACATCCGAAGCAGTAGCATTAACAGCACCTGCAGTAGTATTAACAGCCATGGCAGTTAGGGACTCCGAGGGGTACGGTGCGGTGAAGTCAAAATACTTGTGTACCAGTGACCCTTCCCGCGATGATGACTCAGGTGTTGACGATCTACTTCCACCAGAACTTTGTACAGACCTTGGTGCACAGAATAAAGGTTGAATTCAACAATAAATACTAAAAGTTACAAAGAAATTAATACTGTAAGTAAAAAAATGAGGCGATGAGTCACAATAACGTGGCTAAAGTATGTTGACCAGACCACACAATATAAAGTGAAGGGACGACAACGTTTCGGTCCGTCCTGGACCATTCTCAAGTCGATTGTGAGAATGGTCCAGGACGGACCGAAACGTCGTCGTCCCTTCACCTTCTAGTGTGTGGTCTGGTTAACACTAAAAAAATGAGGCTATGAGTTAACCCTTAAACTTTTCCAATTGCTACCTGCGATTACCTCCTATGTTCAGATCACCATGTACAAGAATACAAGAACTCTTTTATGTATAAATAAATACATAAATAAATAAATAAAAATGTGCAACCGATCCTTATGGATTATGGATAAAGTACTTTATATTTTTCATGCACACCATGATATAGGACTTTTAATTAGTTTAGCTGAACTGTTTAAAGATTAATATGAAAAGCACCTTCCTGAATAGAATCTGTTCTCTAAAGTAAGATCCATTGTAGCAATTGGACATGATCATGCAGTCAGGTAGGACAATATTCTGGCACTGGTGCCACAGGGAACTTTTCAAATAGTTTAATTTGCAGTCATTATTTGTGCTAGGGAGGAACTAGAGATAATTCGATCCAGTACTTAATGCCCAGGCTTTATCAAGCCTTCATGTGTCCGCTTATGAAACCTGAACATTTTTTCTTCAGTCAAGTCAGCTAGGTTATATTTATTACACAGTTTGTAAGCTATGAAGTGCTACAAGGTTGTCTATAACCTTGGATCAAGAATGACCTCGCAGCATTCCAAGCTCATACACGGTTTAATAAATATTGACTAAGGTACAGTGCCATGATCGAGAAGGAACGTACAGGCGTCTTAAGTGGTTACATGACTGTTTGATGACTCTAACCCCCTGATGGCAGAGGCAGACTCCAATGACAGCTTTAAATATATTTGCAGTACGACAGAGCCAAATTTAGCCTCTTGATGAGCCTCAGTGGGCTCCTAATGGGATAGGTTGTGTTTCTGCCTTCCTGGGGATCAAGTATTGTTTGTGAAGCGTGCTGTGCAACCCATCCTCTCAACTAATACCCCATTATGGTATGTTATCGTAACCAATGTACAGTACCTAATGCAACATACAGTACTGTACTTGGAAGAGTAGCGGCTCTCACATACCCATGTTTTCTATGCCTCGGTTGGTTCTTAAGTTGGTGGGTGGCTTGGGTTTACGCATTTCTGGTTTGGTTCGGCCAGTGGATTTTGTACATTGCGGCAAATCAAGGTGACGGGCTGTGAGGTGAGTGTCACCACTGTACTAATATGAAAAACAATTACTTTTCTTTATCCAGAAAGAATAGGTAGTTTTTTCATGACAGAGTAAAGAATAACAAAAATTTGACGTTGAGTTTTCTATGTATTTTTTTTTTATTTAAGCATGTCATTCCACTTCTTCCTAAGGTACAGTCCAATGGCAAGGGTCATGCACAGTCAGGCAGGACAGTCCACTGCCACAGTGCCACAGGGTAGCCAAGGATGGATTATTTACCACGGGTGGTACACACACAAGGAGACACAGGTGGAAGCTGAGTACCCAAATGAGCCACAGAGACATTAGAAAGAACTTTTTCCAGTGTCAGAGTAGTTAGTAAATGGAATGCACTAGGAAGTGATGTGGTGGAGGCTGACTCCATACACAGTTTCAAATGTAGATATGATAGAGCTCAAGAAGCTCAGGAATCTGTACACCAGTTAATTGACAGCTGAGAGGCAGGACCAAAGAGCCAGAGCTCAACCCTCGCAAGCACAACTAGGTGAGTACAACCAAGTGAGTACAGGAACTCTGAAAACTCTCTCTCTCTAGGGTAGTCAAGGTGGCAATGTGTGACAGGCAAAATTAATAAATCTAGCCAAGAATAACCCAAAAATGTTTATTCCAAAAACACAAAACCATACTCAAGCCTTCCTTGGCACAAGAGGTCACCACCATGGAAGCAATCTTGTTAACTATCAGTTCACCTTCTTGGAACCATTTACCAAGCACTTCCAGGTTGGTCTCAGGCACGCAAGCCTCAGTTACCCCATAGAGTGAGCACATTCTGCTCTGGTCCGGGATTCATCAAACATTTATGAAGTGAAGTGTACTGTGCTGTACATCTTTCCTCAATCATGCCAGCTTGAAATACGAAGTTTTGAAGCTCAAAACTTGCCTGAACTCTGTTAGAACTTAGCTCAGGTAGCAACTGAGGGGGCCCTCCCAGTAGCTACTGAGGGGGCCCTCCCAGTAGCTACTGATGGGCCCCTCCCAGTAGCTACTGAGGGGGCCCTCCCAGTAGCTACTGATGGGGGCCCTCCCAGCAGCTACTGATGAGGGCCCTCCCAGTAGCTACTGATGGGGGCCTTCCCAGCAGCTACTCTGGGGCCCCTCCCAGTAACTACTGAGGGGGCCCTCCCAGTAGCTACTGATGGGGGCCCCTCCTAATTGCTACTGATGGGGGCCCTCCCAGCAGCTACTGATGGGCCCCTCCCAGTAGCTACTGAGAGGGCCCTCCCAGCAGTTACTGATGGGGGCCCTCCCAGTAGCTACTGATGGGGGCCCTCCCAGCAGCTACTGATGGGCCCCTCCCAGTAGCTACTGAGGGGGCCCTCCCAGTAGCTACTGATGGGGGCCCTCCCAGCAGCTACTGATGGGCCCCTCCCAGTAGCTACTGAGGGGGCCCTCCCAGCAGCTACTGATGGGGGGCCCTTCCAGCAGCTATTGATGGGGCCCCCCCCCCAGCAGCTACTGATGGGGTTCTCCCAGTAGTTACTGAGGGGGCCCTCCCAGCAGCTACTGATGCGGCCCTCCCAGTAGCTACTGATGGGGCCCTCCCAGCAACTACTGATGGGGCCCTCCCAGCAGCTACTGAAGGGGCCCTCCCAGCAGCTACTGAAGGGGCCCTCCCAGCAGCTACTGATGGGGCCCTCCCAGCAGCTACTGAAGGGGCCCTCCCAGCAGCTACTGAAGGGGCCCTCCCAGCAGCTACTGAAGGGGCCCTCCCAGCAGCTACTGAAGGGGCCCCTCCCAGCAGCTACTGATGGGGCCCTCCCAGCAGCTACTGAAGGGGCCCTCCCAGCAGCTACTGATGGGGCCCTCCCAGCAGCTACTGAAGGGGCCCTCCCAGCAGCTACTGATGGAGACCCTCCCAGCAGCTACTGATGGGGACCCTCCCAGCAGCTACTGATGGGGCCCTCCCAGCAGCTACTGATGGGGCCCTCCCAGCAGCTACTGAGGCAGGGCCCCTCCCAGCAGCTACTGAGGCAGGGCCCCTCCCAGCAGCTACTGATGGGGCCCTCCCAGCAGCTACTGAGGCGGGGCCCCTCCCAGCAGCTACTGAGGGGACCCTCCCAGCAGCTACTGAGGCGGGGCCCCTCCCAGCAGCTACTGAGGCGGGGCCCCTCCAGCAGCTACTGAGGAGGGCCCTCCCAGCAGCTACTGATGGGGCCCCTCCCAGCAGCTACTGATGGGGACCCTCCCAGCAGCTACTGATGGGGCCCTCCCAGCAGCTACTGAGGGGACCCTCCCAGCAGCTACTGATGGGGCCCTCCCAGCAGCTACTGAGGGGACCCTCCCAGCAGCTACTGAGGTGGGGCCCCTCCCAGCAGCTACTGAGGGGACCCTCCCAGCAGCTACTGAGGTGGGGCCCCTCCCAGCAGCTACTGAGGAGGGCTCCTCCCAGCAGCTACTGAGGAGGGTTCCTCCCAGAAAATAATAACGCTCCTCTGAAAAGACAATGAGGAAGTCTCTTCCATGAACAAAACAAACCTTTCCAAGACAGAAGTGACAGTAGCTTTAGAGATGCCAACAGCACGTTTCTTCAAATTCTGGCGCTGATACAACTTCCTTTTAGAATTTAACTCAAATCCTGGGTCAATTTTCCAGAGGCTGCCTGCGGTCAAATGTGGGAATTTGACGAATTTTTTATACAATGACAGGCAATGTCGGATGGAGTTCTGAGGAGGACACGTCAATCAGTAACAGAAACCGTATCTATGCTAACTAATTGTTATGAAAAATCAGAAATAGTAAGTAGAAAGAATTCAAACAATGGAGAAGTTAATTTATTGGAGATTAAAATTAATTGTTTACTCTACATACTCTACATTAAATCATTTCAAGTTTTTGTGAACCATATCCAATTTAGTTAACTGAACAAAAATGAAAGTGATGCACACATACAGTACATATTTGACATTTGTAGAGAAACCACTTACAACAGTTTCTCTATTGTCAGGGTCAAGAAAACTGTCTGTACGGCTTATCAAGGTCCCCCAATTGCCATATCTGCCCAGACAGGTCACCCGATAAAGGTACTCAAAACATTTGTCTGTAATTTACTGCAATAGGAAACTTAACCCTTACACTGCTCCAATTGCAGTCTTTGATTCCCACCTGTTTTTAATACACATGAACATAAATTGGGTCTTTCCTTCACCTTCAAACTTTTAGTAACACACACCTCAATGTAATACTTTTAAACAGCTGCACAGTTTAAAGGTTAATGAGGAAAAAAAATTAATATTATTACCTTCCATCCTTTGGAGTCCGGCTTGTAATATGGGTATTTTTGCGAGATGTATGAAATTATCTCTCTCAATGTACACTGTTTGGTGGGAGATGATAAAATTGCCTCCGAAATCAGCTGACTATAGGAAAATGGAGGCCGTGCATCATCCTGTGGATATAGAGGGCATAAATTATCCTCAGGATATGGAGCCTTTGAGTCATCCTAAGGAAATGATTCCCTAGAGTTGTCCTCAAGCAATAAAGTCCTTGACTCACTTTGGATACACAGACACCTTGAATTATCCGGGGGTAAAAAAATAGCCTTAAGTCATTCAGGGAAAAGTGAGGACAGTACCTCTAACATACTCCACAACATGGACCTCTAACATACTCTCCAACATGGACCTCTAACATACTCCACAACATGGACCTCCAACATACTCCACAACATGGACCTCTAACATACTCTGCAACATGGACCTCTAACATACTCCACTACATGGACCTCTAACATACTCCACAACATGGACCTCTAACATATACTTCACAACATGGACCTCTAACATACTCCACAACATGGACCTCTAACATATACTTCACAACATGGACCTAGAACATACTTCACAACATGGACCTCTAACATACTCCACAACATGGACCTCTAACATATACTCCACAACATGGACCTCTAACATACTTCACAACATGGACCTCTAACATACTCCACAACATGGACCTCTAACATACTTCACAACATGGACCTCTAACATATACTCCACAACATGGACCTCTAACATATACTCCACAACATGGACCTCTAACATACTTCACAACATGGACCTCTAACATACTCCACAACATGGACCTCTAACATACCCCACAACATGGACCTCTAACATATACTCCACAACATGGACCTCTAACATATACTCCACAACATGGACCTCTAACATACTCCACAACATGGACCTCTAACATATACTCCACAACATGGACCTCTAACATACTTCACAACATGGACCTCTAACATACTCCACAACATGGACCTCTAACATATACTCCACAACATGGACCTCTAACATACTTCACAACATGGACCTCTAACATACTCCACAACATGGACCTCTAACATACTTCACAACATGGACCTCTAACATATACTCCACAACATGGACCTCTAACATATACTCCACAACATGGACCTCTAACATATACTCCACAACATGGACCTCTAACATACTCCACAACATGGACCTCTAACATACTCCACAACATGGACCTCTAACATACTCCACAACATGGACCACTAACATATACTTCACAACATGGACCTCTAACATATACTCCACAACATGGACCTCTAACATATACTCCACAACATGGACCTCTAACATACTCCACAACATGGACCTCTAACATACTCCACAACATGGACCTCTAACATATACTTCACAACATGGACCTCTAACATATACTTCACAACATGGACCTCTAACATATACTCCACAACATGGACCTCTAACATACTCCACAACATGGACCTCTAACATATACTCCACAACATGGACCTCTAACATATACTCCACAACATGGACCTCTAACATATACTCCACAACATGGACCTCTAACATACTCCACAACATGGACCTCTAACATACTCCACAACATGGACCTCTAACATATACTTCACAACATGGACCTCTAACATATACTCCACAACATGGACCTCTAACATATACTCCACAACATGGACCTCTAACATACTCCACAACATGGACCTCTAACATACTCCACAACATGGACCTCTAACATATACTTCACAACATGGACCTCTAACATATACTTCACAACATGGACCTCTAACATATACTCCACAACATGGACCTCTAACATACTCCACAACATGGACCTCTAACATACTCCACAACATGGACCTCTAACATATACTTCACAACATGGACCTCTAACATATACTCCACAACATGGACCTCTAACATATACTCCACAACATGGACCTCTAACATACTCCACAACATGGACCTCTAACATACTCCACAACATGGACCTCTAACATATACTCCACAACATGGACCTCTAACATATACTTCACAACATGGACCTCTAACATATACTCCACAACATGGACCTCTAACATATACTCCACAACATGGACCTCTAACATATACTCCACAACATGGACCTCTAACATACTCCACAACATGGACCTCTAACATATACTCCACAACATGGACCTCTAACATATACTCCACAACATGGACCTCGAACATACTTCACAACATGGACCTCTAACATATACTCCACAACATGGACCTCTAACATACTCCACAACATGGACCTCTAACATATACTTCACAACATGGACCTCTAACATACTCCACAACATGGACCTCTAACATATACTCCACAACATGGACCTCTAACATATACTTCACAACATGGACCTCTAACATACTCCACAACATGGACCTCTAACATATACTCCACAACATGGACCTCTAACATACTTCACAACATGGACCTCTAACATATACTCCACAACATGGACCTCTAACATACTCCACATCATGGACCTCTAACATATACTCCACAACATGGACCTCTAACATATACTCCACAACATGGACCTCTAACATATACTCCACAACATGGACCTCTAACATATACTCCACAACATGGACCTCTAACATACTCCACAACATGGACCTCTAACATACTCCACAACATGGACCTCTAACATATACTCCACAACATGGACCTCTAACATACTCCACAACATGGACCTCTAACATATACTCCACAACATGGACCTCTAACATATACTCCACAACATGGACCTCTAACATACTCCACAACATGGACCTCTAACATACTCCACAACATGGACCTCTAACATATACTTCACAACATGGACCTCTAACATACTCCACAACATGGACCTCTAACATATACTCCACAACATGGACCTCTAACATACTTCACAACATGGACCTCTAACATACTCCACAACATGGACCTCTAACATACTCCACAACATGGACCTCTAACATATACTTCACAACATGGACCTCTAACATACTCCACAACATGGACCTCTAACATATACTCCACAACATGGACCTCTAACATACTTCACAACATGGACCTCTAACATATACTCCACAACATGGACCTCTAACATACTCCACAACATGGACCTCTAACATATACTCCACAACATGGACCTCTAACATATACTCCACAACATGGACCTCTAACATATACTCCACAACATGGACCTCTAACATATACTCCACAACATGGACCTCTAACATACTCCACAACATGGACCTCTAACATACTCCACAACATGGACCTCTAACATATACTCCACAACATGGACCTCTAACATACTCCACAACATGGACCTCTAACATATACTCCACAACATGGACCTCTAACATATACTCCACAACATGGACCTCTAACATACTCCACAACATGATAAACCCAAACTGCCATAATCAACTTTATGTCCCATACACAAGTCAAATAACCAATGTTAACTCCACACCACAAAGAAGCTGTAGTGATGAAATGAATTAAGTTAATAAACAGGGGAGAAGAAGCAAAAATTAATCAATATATGAAAGAACACACACCCACATGCCGGCTGACAGGTACACTGTGGCATGCCTAGACAATAATCTAGATACAGAGGTGCTATTTCCAAACATGTTCGACTGTAATACTGTATACTGTACTGTATTTGAAATGTAGAAAACGCATTAACACTTCGACTGCAGAGATTGCAATATTACATTTCCTGGTTGATACCTGGTTGATGGGGTTCTGGGAGTTGTTCTACTCCCCAAGCCCGGCCCGAGGCCAGGCTCGACTTGTGAGAGTTTGGTCCACCAGTTGTCATTTCCTCAATGACAACTCAACTCCCATTGGGAAAAGCAATACTGTATGCAGACGATGAGTCACAATAACGTGGCTGAAGATATGATGACCAAACCACACTCCCGAAGATGAAGAGATGACGACATTTCGGTCCGTCCTGGACCATTATCAAGTCGATTGTCTTGATAATGGTCCAGGACGGACCGAAACGTCGTCGTCTCTTCATCTTCTGGTGTGCGGTTTGGTCTTCATGCAATACTGTACTTAATTTTATAAATTTCAAGTCACCCCTGAGTCTTGGAAAATTACACACTTGAAAATTACTTGTGGATGATTTTTGATACTTCCACAATTGCAGTCAAGGGTGATTATTTGGTCTGCAAGGCAGTTTGTCTTTGCAGATCAAATAGGTCTGCACGGTCTCTTGCTATGAGACCTGCAGGCTCTCATAGCAATCACAGACTGGTTGATCTGGTAACTCTTTGATGAACTATTTATAAAACCGTTTGAGGATTACCTCTACCATCGAAACCATTGACAGCCATTCATTAGCAATAATACTTTCATGTTAACACTATCGGTCTCTTTGGACACCGCTCGCATCCACTTTTTTTCTCCTAGCCGTGCACTGTGCTTGCGTCTAATACAAAAATATTTGTATAAAATTAATTTTTTATCCGATCGACTTCAGGATTGTTTTAAAATGAGCGCCTTTAGAGTGCACACAATTTGATACCAAAATAAAAGATGTAACATGAAACTTGATGTCAGAACACTTGAAAGATTATAAATACATTTTTGGTCAAAATTTTAAAATATTTGTTAAAATTCTATTTATTGTCCTATTATTATGGGACTACAGTAATTTTAAAATGTGCACCTTAAGACTGCGAGCAATTTGATATCAAAATGAAAGATGTAACACAAAAATTTATGTCAGAACACTGGAAAGATATAAATAATTTTGTGATGAGTGTCCAAAATTAAAATATTTGTTAAAATTCCAGCTATTGATCTATTATTATGGGACTAGTTTTAAAATACACACCTTTATATTGCAAACAATTTGATACCAAAACGAGCAACACAAAAATTGATGTTATCAATCTGAACGAGCATACACATTAGGTTGTGGTGTGCAAATCAATGCTCTTCATGGGTAACTTTAGGCTCTGCTGTGGAGAGTCTCACTAGGCTTTTGGACATTATATACATATACACTTGTAGGGAATTTAATTGTGTACACAATGATATCAAAACGAACGACGTAGCACGAGAATTAAGGTGAGAAAACTGAAATTAGTATACATATTTTACTGATTTTGTGCACTCACGGGTAACTTTTGCCGACTTTAGGCTTTGCTGTTGGGAGTCACACCAGGCTTTTGGACATTATATGCATATACTGGTACACCTGTAGGGAATTCTATTGCAAACACAACGATACCAAAATGAACGACGTAGCACGAGAATTAAGGCGAGAAAACTGAAACGAGTATACACATTTGGGTATCACCACGTGCTTACCCGCACGGTCACCAGCACGCCGGGGGGTGACCTCTAAGTTGGCAGCGTGCATGCCGTAGGCTCGAAAGTGTTAACAAGATCACACCTGAAGAAAATCCAATCCACAATCACCATGAACCTGGAAATTTATAATTTGCTGAACTAACAATACTGTACTAAAAATAAACATTAAAGCCATGTCATACCTTGGCAACAGTATGAGGACTGTGATGCCGGACATGAGAGTCGAGTGGGGTGGAGTCACCCTTAGCACGACGGAGGTAAAGTGTGGGAATGTGTTTAGCATCTTCCGTGTGCGGAGGACTCGTGCATTGGGGAGGTGGATCGGAAGCAACAAAGTACCATTCATCTTCTTGGGTGCCATTATGGTGCTGTTGTTGATTTGATCTTGTCAGGTTTGTTAGTGATGCTGTTGCTGTGGATGTGGAAAATGTAGATTAAAATTCAATTTTTCTGTAATGCAAAGAATGCATAATAGCATCCCGATATTATACAGGGGTACATTCCTAGAGACATAAGAGAATTAACCCCTAAACTTGAGGGTCGCGATAGTACAGTTGGGTTCATTGACAACTCACAATCAAGAATTCTGTGTTCAAATCCCGGGCGGGACAGTAATGGTTGGGCGAGTTACCTATCACCTTATGCAGTAAACCACCACCACCTAGCAGTAAATAGGTACCCAGGAGATAAGTCAGCTTGTTGTGGGGTTGCATCCTGGGGAGGGTCAGTAATTTGACCCTGAAGGGGGAAGGGGAGATCTCAATATAGGCCTAACATGTACTATATGTATAAGCTGGCTGCCTGTCCCCCGACATATTGAATTATTTTAATTATAACTGTGCAGCTATTTAAAAGTACGCTACTACATTGAGATGAACAATGTTATTTAACATTTTTAACATGGTTAACCATTTTTAACATGGTTCAAAATAAAAAATAAATCACAGTTTTAATGTGAATGCTGAAAAGTGCATTTCCGAATACGGAACACTACCATAGGACCCTCAAGCAGAATCTAAACCCCTCAAAGGCAGGTCCGCGCTCCACAGTGGCAGCAGAGATCTTTTCATAGGTTCCTTCCAATTCCGACCGGTAATTACCCAAGTGTAGTCACAGGACCAGAACTACACTCATGACATCCCTTCTCGGTACTCTGTCACCTTTGCAATTATCTTGCGTCGATTTCAGGGATCAACGTCCCTGTGACCCGGTCTCTGACCAGGCCTCCTGGTCGATGGTCTGGTCAACCAGAACATAGATGCATCAGCCGGGAACATGTCCCAAGGTATTTCAAAAATTACTGATGGTCTTTTGGCATCCACCACCTCACTTGAATACAAGTTAGGGAGTGAATTATCAGGGGGAAAGCACCAAGCCATTAAGACTGTCAGGATAAGGATTTGGGATGGGACTGAACACTGGCCTGTAGTTCAGTGCCTCCAGAGTATCTTTGTGAATTATTCTAATTCCAACTTGTTCAACATGTCAAGGCTACACAATATGAAGAAAGTAACAGGAAGACTTTTGACCATCAACTTAAAAATAACAAATGCATGGCCACAAGTGGCCCACAAACAAAGCCATGCCCATCCCCCAAGTGGGCCACAAACCCCAGCAGGGCCACAAGTGGGCCACAAACCCCAGCATGGCCACAAGTGGGCCACAAACCCCAGCAGGGCCACAAGTGGGCCACAAACCCCAGCATGGCCACAAGTGGGCCACAAACCCCAGCAGAGCAACAAGTGGGCCACAAACCCCAGCATGGCCACAAGTGGGCCACAAACCCCAGCAGAGCAACAAGTGGGCCACAAACCCCCAGCATGGCAACAAGTGAGCCACAAACCTCAGAAGGGCCACAAGTGGGCCACAAACCTCCAGCATGGCAACAAGTGGATCACAAACCTCAGAAGGGCCACAAGTGGGCCACAAACCCCAGCATGGGCACAAGTGAGCCACAAACCCCTGCAGGGCCACAAACCCCAGCAGGGCCACAAGCGGGCCACAAACCCCAGCAGGGCCACAAGTGGGCCACAAACCCCAGCAGGGCCACAAGTGGGCCACAAACCCCAGCAGGGCCACAAGTAAGCCACAAACCCCAGCAGGGCCACAAGTGAGCCACAAACCCCAGCAGGGCCACAAGTGAGCCACAAACCCCAGCAGGGCCACAAGTGAGCCACAAACCCCAGCAGGGCCACAAGTGAGCCACAAACCCCAGCAGGGCCACAAGTGAGCCACAAACCCCAGCAGGGCCACAAGTGGGCCACAAACCCCAGCAGGGCCACAAGTGGGCCACAAACCCCAGCAGGGCCACAAGTGGGCCACAAACCCCAGCAGGGCCACAAGTGGGCCACAAACCCCAGCAGGGCCACAAGTGGGCCACAAACCCCAGCAGGGCCACAAGTGGGCCACAAACCCCAGCAGGGCCACAAACCCCCAGCAGGGCCACAAGTGGGCCACAAACCCCAGCAGGGCCACAAACCCCCAGCAGGGCCACAAGTGGGCCACAAACCCCAGCATAGCCACAAGTGGGCCACAAACCCCAGCAGGGCCACAAATGGGCCACAAACCCCAGCAGGGCCACAAGTGGGGCCACATGACAAATACCTGTGGCGTCAGTCTCCATGGGCCCTTTTGTTTACAAATTGTTTACAAGTTCTCAGTGTTTACATTCCCAGTTGTCTGAGAAAGACTGGAAAGTTTAAGCTTTACAACAACACAAGTATTGTATGGCAACCGACCCATACAACAGGGGACTACCGCCATCTATTGACTGAAAGAGCAACTAAATACAGTAGCAGGCTAGTAGAATATTTACCCGAATTTACCTGAGGGCCATGTAAGACTTTAGTGGCTCCTCGACGAGGACAGGAAGTCAGCGGCTTGTCAAAGTTCACCCCATTTCTCCTGGTGATCATATTTAAGCTGGGTTTTAAAGTTTAACGGAGTTTTTTTTTAGTGTAAGTTGGTCAACAAGTTTGAATTTCAAGTTTTTGAATTTTGATTTTTTTTTTAACAAACAGCATTGTTTAAAATAGTAAGACATGGGTTGACATTTAGGGGTAAGGTAGGCTACATGGAGTTAATTAGGTAGTACTTAGTTTTACTCTTAAACTAGATAAGAGAGAGTTAGTTTAGTTCATTTATTATGGACCCCATACCTATCTTGTGGGCGGTAGTGGAAATTGAAATTGAAATTGAAATAAGTTTATTGAGGTAAAATACACACAAAGGGATGAGGTAGCTCAAGCTATTCTCACCCCATTCAGTACAACGTGTTAATATATACATAGACACACATCACAAACAATAAACATATTACCAAACAAGGGTTACAGAGGCACATAATGGGCTCAGGGACTGAACCCCACCAGTCATTTAGCTAAGCAAGTTACAATCTTGATGAGCTAGTTACAAAATTCAATATAAGTCGTCACATCAACAATGGGTTCGAGATCGACCTCAAGTACAGGTTCTAAATTAAGCAACTGACATATGTGGAGAGCTAGTGTCACAATTGATATGTTTGTCCTGCACACCGCCCCCCATCCAGTGGGCAGCGGTGGATAGGTTACACCGCCCCCCATCCAGTGGGCAGCGGTGGATAGGTTACACCGCCCCCATCCAGTGGGCAGCGGTGGATAGGTTACACCGCCCCCCCATCCAGTGGGCAGCGGTGGATAGGTTACACCGCCCCCATCCAGTGGGCAGCGGTGGATAGGTTACACCGCCCCCCATCCAGTGGGCAGCGGTGGATAGGTTACACCGCCCCCCATCCAGTGGGCAGCGGTGGATAGGTTACACCGCCCCCCCATCCAGTGGGCAGCGGTGGATAGGTTACACCGCCCCCCCATCCAGTGGGCAGCGGTGGATAGGTTACACCGCCCCCCATCCAGTGGGCAGCGGTGGATAGGTTACACCGCCCCCCATCCAGTGGGCAGCGGTGGATAGGTTACACCGCCCTCCATCCAGTGGGCAGCGGTGGATAGGTTACACCGCCCCCCATCCAGTGGGCAGCGGTGGATAGGTTACAATCACTCAGTTACTACCTACAGTTAGCAAACTGGGGATATTTGGCTAAAATTTCTGGTAGCAGATCATTTTGAATGAAATATTTACACATCGCTGGAACATTGGTTATAGAATTGTCTCTAAATTCACGTATCTTTTCGCACTCCATCACATAGTGACGGAGGGTGTGCGAATAATTTTGTTGACACAGTTTACATTTGGTCAGGTCTACATCAGCAGATAATGAGAATTCCCAGAGATACTTGTAACCGAGTCTAAGCTGAGCAGTAGTAACATCTAGAAGTCTGCTGATTTTATTGGCTGAACCATAGATGTGTGGCTCCTCTTGCACGATAGTATGATGATAGATGGAATTACTGGTGTCAATTTCACTTTGCCTCAGATCTACAAGATCTTGTTGAAGTTCTCGGTGTACAGCTGCTCTCAGATTGCCCATTGACAATCCAAGGTTACACTCAACGGCTTCTTTAAAGGCAGATTCTTTGGCTAACTTATCAGCTCTTATCATGCATTCGGAGGCCAACATGAGATGGAGACCACATGACTCTGTTACCATCCTTAATAATTTTGTTGTATTTGTGTCTAGCTTCGGACACGAGCATGTTACAGTTATGTCTTAAAGAGTTGAGAGCATTTAAGGATGATAAGGAGTCACTTACAATTAATGTATCAAGTTTTGAGACTTGTACACATTTCAGTGCAAGGATCAAGGCAAATAGTTCAGTCTGAAGGGTAGAGGCCCAGTTGTTTATACGGACTCCCCACTCAAAGTACAAGCCATCGCCCATTGTCAGGACAACTGCACTTCCAGCTGCACCCGAGGTTATATAAATAACGAATACTTAACGAACATTAGATAACGTTATCAAAACAAAACACTAAAACCAATGCGAAAAGAAGAAAACTCAACCTTCATTTAAACCTTTGACCCAAATATCACAGTAACAAGGTTATCGCGAATAACGCAATTCAGTTACGTGCTCACCTTAGCCCGTGCTACATGAAGTACATATAGATCTTTGTAAGGACTCGACTTCCCTCTTTACCATAAATCTTTGTGTCATCTGCAAATTTGATGATGTGGTTTCTCATTTATGTTATTGATGTATGTGACAAAGAGGATTGGCCCCAAAATGGACCCCTGTGGGACCCCATTTAGATCATATCTCCGATTAGATTCATTCCCATTTAGCACGACCCTTTGTGTTCTTTCTTTCAACCTGTTTTATCCATTCTAGTGTTCTACCGTTTATTTCATGTCCCTGTAGTCTCTTTGCTAGTCTTACACCTTATCGAAGGCTTTGGACAAATCTATTTATACTACATCCACGGGAAGTCCCACGTCTGAGAAGGTGGTGGTCTGTAAGGCAGGTGTGTAAGGCAGGTGTGTAAGGCAAGATCTACTTGTGACAAAACTATGTTGCGCTCAAGATTATAACCTTTTGTTGAATTGTGTGAATGTTTCCTGCTAATTGTCTATACCAAGTCATAACAGTAATTGTGTGAATCTCTCCTGCTAATTGTCTATACCAAGTCATAACAGTAATTGTGTGAATGTCTCCTGCTAATTGTCTATACCAAGTCATAACAGTAATTGTGTGAATCTCTCCTGCTAATTGTCTATACCAAGTCATAACAGTAATTGTGTGAATGTCTCCTGCTAATTGTCTATACCAAGTCATAACAGCATTTGTGTGTACGTGTGATACTACTTGTGTAAAGGAGGAAATGTATATGTTTATCTCACACAATGTTCGGTGATGTGTTTATTGTTTGTGATGTGTGTCTATGTATGTATTAACACGATGTACTGAACGGGGTGAGAATAGCTTGAGCTACCTCATCCTGTGTGTATTTAGTATTTATATATATGGAAGCTGATCAGAATTACATTTCACATTTGTAAATGCACATTAATGACACTATGTAAAAGACACATCGAACACTTTATGTAGGGCATACGTAAATCTGTGTATCTATGTATTTACGTATGTAGGTTAGCTTAGCATTTTAAAAGCACCGAACCACCTTCTGTGGTTAAGTGTTCAATAAACCCTTGAACTATATGTTTAACACATCTCTAACCCTGTCCATGGAGGACAGAAGAAAATGTATATATGATGGTTAGCATTGTAAATGTGTGGCCACGTCTGTGGTAGAAAATAATAATAATAATAATAAAAAGTGCCTTTATGAGTTTGGATTGTATTGCTTTCGAGTCTTTTAATGTGTCAAAGGTCTTTGTGATCATGTAGTAGGTAATGGGAATATCAATTAATTCATTATCTTCACCTTCAAACACTTGTGTGGGGTAATTGGATGTCCTCTGACCTTTCTAGTGTGAACTCTGTTTATAAAGTATTCATACAGAGTGGTTGCTACCTCTTTATCAGCTATTATAACTTGTCTCATCTTGTATGCGTCCTACCGAGTCCTTACTTTTGGTTGAAATTCTTATATAGGATAATAAAGAAAGAAATTGAACTGAATTGGCATAGAATCTTTCTTAATGCTTTGGGCAAGTATCCTTTCGTAGTTTCTTTTGGGTGTTCGTCCTGATTATGTCGCCCGTGATGACTATCTCCCTCAGTTACACCCAACGCACAATTTACACGTATTAATATTGCCCAAACGACCTACAGCAGCCCATAAATATGTAATACAATTCAACCCTCGCGCGGGTAAACGGCTTTTGAAGAAAAACAAATGAGCGAATCAGTGCGATTATCCACACACAAATACAAATAAAAAACTATAACTTTTTAGTGTAGTATAGTATATATATTTTAGTATAAATATAGTAACTTGATATATATATATAAAGTACAGTTATATATAGTATAGTGATATATATGCATATAATATATATATTTCACTATATATCTATATATCTATTTATATACTTGACTACATATATGTGCATTACTTTATGCGACAATTTTTCGATCAAAATACTATAAAGAAAATAAAAACATAATTTAAAAACCTATAATCACGGATAAAATGTGTATATAAAGCCAGAGTTAGAGAGCTGTGATGTATATAATATAGCGGAGGAGGCTGCGTGGGGCGGCCATGACACTCACGCCGTCCACTCTACCGGGGCCCTCACACGTCTCCTGACGTGTGGCCCGCTGCTCCTGGGCCACCCTAGGGGCCACCGGGGCCCTCACCCGCCTCCTGACGTGTGGCCCTCACTATGGGGCCCCTGCTGCTGCGGCCTGGCCTCGTGGGGCCCCCTTGTGGTCCTTGTGTGGTCCTTGTGTGGTGAGTTACTGTACTGGGGGGCCATGCTGGGGGCCTGGGGTGGTGGTGGGCAGTACTGGGGGCCATGCTGGGGGCCTGGGGTGGTGGTGGGCAGTACTGGGGGCCATGCTGGGGGCCTGGGGTGGTGGTGGACAGTACTGGGGGCCATGCTGGGGGCCGGGGGTGGTGGTTGACAGTACTGGGGGCCATGCTGGTGGCCTGGGGTGGTGGTGGACAGTACTGGGGGCCGGGGGTGGTGGTGGACAGTACTGGGGGCCGGGGGTGTTGGTGGACAGTTCTGGGGGCCGGGGGTGGGTGGACAGTTCTGGGGGCCGGGGGTGGTGGTGGACAGTTCTGGGGGCCGGGGGTGGTGGTGGACAGTACTGGGGGCCGGGGGTGGTGGTGGACAGTACTGGGGGCCATGCTGGGGGCCAGGGGTGGTGGTGGACAGTACTGGGGGCCATGCTGGGGGCCGGGGGTGGTGGTGGACAGTACTGGGGGCCATGCTGGGAGCCTGGGGTGGTGGTGGACAGTACTGGGGGCCGGGGGTGGTGGTGGACAGTACTGGGGGCCATGCTGGGGGCCTGGGGTGGTGGTGGACAGTACTGGGGGCCTGGGGTGGTGGTGGACAGTACTGGGGGCCATGCTGGGGGCCGGGGGTGGTGGTGGACAGTACTGGGGCCATGCTGGGGGCCGGGGGTGGTGGTGGACAGTACTGGGGGCCATGCTGGGGGCCGGGGGTGGTGGTGGACAGTACTGGGGGCCATGCTGGGGGCCGGGGGTGGTGGTGGACAGTACTGGGGGCCGGGGGTGGTGGTGGACAGTACTGGGGGCCATGCTGGGGGCCTGGGGTGGTGGTGGACAGTACTGGGGGCCATGCTGGGGGCCGGGGGTGGCGGTGGACAGTACTGGGGGCCGGGGGTGGCGGTGGACAGTACTGGGGGCCATGCTGGGGGCCGGGGTGGTGGTGGACAGTACTGGGGGCCATGCTGGGAGCCTGGGGTGGTGGTAGACAGTACTGGGGGCCGGGGGTGGTGGTGGACAGTACTGGGGGCCGGGGGTGGTGGTGGACAGTACTGGGGGCCGGGGGTGGTGGTGGACAGTACTGGGGGCCGGGGGTGGTGGTGGACAGTACTGGGGGCCGGGGGTGGTGGTGGACAGTACTGGGGGCCGGGGGTGGTGGTGGGCAGTACTGGGGGCCGGGGGTGGTGGTGGGCAGTACTGGGGGCCATGCTGGGAGCCTGGGGTGGTGGTGGACAGTACTGGGGGCCGGGGGTGGTGGTGGACAGTACTGGGGGCCGGGGGTGGTGGTGGGCAGTACTGGGGGCCGGGGGTGGTGGTGGACAGTACTGGGGGCCGGGGGTGGTGGTGGACAGTACTGGGGGCCGGGGGTGGTGGTGGACAGTACTGGGGGCCGGGGGTGGTGGTGGACAGTACTGGGGGCCGGGGGTGGTGGTGGGCAGTACTGGGGGCCGGGGGTGGTGGTGGGCAGTACTGGGGGCCGGGGGTGGTGGTGGGCAGTACTGGGGGCCGGGGGTGGTGGTGGGCAGTACTGGGGGCCGGGGGTGGTGGTGGGCAGTACTGGGGGCCATGCTGGTGGCCGGGGGTGGTGGTGGACAGTATTAGGGGGCCATGCTGGTGGCCGGGGGTGCGAGTCTTGAATGTGGTGCCCCCTCTAACTCTTCTGTCGTCAACAGGTGGTGGTCAAGCTGGCTGAATGGTTCCAACATTTTAAATGGTAAGAAATGCTTGTATTTTAGATAAATGGGAGGCTTTTTAATTTATGGCTAATTTTTTTGGAAAAAGTAATTGGATATTTTTTAAATATTTAGTTTAATGCTGTACTTTGGCATTATTACTGTAGGTCAATGGTATTGTGCTGGCGGGTTTACTGCAATGCTGCAAAATGGTCGCCAACAAATATTTTAATTTTGGATGCTCCGCAAAATTTTTCTTTCCAGTGTCCTGACAATTTTTTTTTTACATCTTTCATTTAGATATCAAATTGTTGGCAATGTAAATGTGCACATTTTAAAACTAGTCGCATAATAATAGCACGTTAGAATTTTAAGTTTTGACCAAAAATGTTTATAATCTTCAAGTGTTCTGATGTCAAATTTCGTGTTGCATGTTTCATTATGGTATCAAATTGTGCGCACTCGAAAGGCACTCATTTTGAAACTATCCCGAAATCGATCAGATAAAAAACAAATATTTTTGCATTGGACGCTACTAAGAGGAAAAGTGGATGCAGGCTGTGTTAAAAGCTAGCGATAGTGTTAAAATTCCCTGCTTGCCTAAAGTGAGGCCTTGTGTGATCTGGTGCATTAAGTTTGCTTAATAGTATATTATCAAATGTTATTTGACCTTGTTTACCAAACAGTGAATTTATAGCATTACCCACTGTAGGTTATGTAATCATAAGACTTGGTGTTTGTAGTAACTTATTCAATGTTCACTTTCTCTTCCTGTTTTACTTTAATGTACAAATGGAATACAGTACAATGCCTGTACATTTTGTTAGGCTTTGTTGGTAAAATGGATAGCAATTAGTATTGGCCAGATGCTGTGCACGCCAAGTATATGATGACCCTTATCTTATATCTGACTGCTGATGTATAGTTACGGATCTCTGAGGAGTTGACTTTAAATCTTTTTATTACTGGGATTTGTGTTGGATTTAAAGATTCTTCAAAATTCCAGATTGAAGGTTGGTGAAGACAATGTTTCAAGAGTTTTCAAAGTTTACCACTTTGAAAGTCAACACAGGCAGTTGAACTGAAATTGGGTAAGTTTATTAAAATTATGTAAATTTAAGGTGCTTAATTTGGCTCCACCTTATACTAAAATATTTTGAATGTACTGTATTTGTAAATACTCTAGTAATTCACTGTTTATAGTTGACAAAATTGACAATCATTTGAATTCATTAAATTTAACCATAAATTAACTAATTGTTCAGTTATTTTATGTACTGTAAAGTGCAAATTTAGATAGTCAGTGGTGTTTGGTCATTGAATATTTCATACCAGTAAACACTTTCGCTCTCCTGGCAGTAGGTTTAAAAAAAAAAAAAAAAAAAAAAAACTTGCTCCTGGCGATGTGGATGCTAGAGCGGCGACACTGAAATGTGTGTCCTCTTTTCGGTGTTCTGACCTCAATTTTCAATGTACGTCTTTCATTTTGGTATCAATTTGTTTGCAATAGAACGCTCTAAGAGGAACATTCGTGTAAAATGTCACAAATAGTCGTGAAACCCGTACGAAATACACTTATCGTTAGATGTGTCAAACGGCGTGGAGATGTTCCTACGCTTTTCAGGTTTGTCAACTAGTTTTGTTCTACATTGTTCATTTTGGTATCACTGTGATCGCAATAAAACTCCCTACACGGACATGTGCTTATAAAGTCCAAATCTTGTTGCCCCACCCACAACCACGTGGGAGGTCACCGAAGTGTTACCCGTTAGCGGCTACACCCATACTCTTTTTGTACTTTTTTTTTTTTTTTTTTTACTCTTTTCGGTGTTTTGGCCTTAATTTTCGTGTTTTCATTTTGGTATCAAATTGTGCGCAATATAAAGGCGTGTACTTTAAAACTAGTCCCATAATAATAGAGCAATAACTGGAATTTTAACAAATATTTTAAAATGGTTGACGCATCGACTAAGTCAGAGGACTCGTTAGAGAAATTGTTCGGGTAGTCGGTGTTAATGGGCTATTGTAGTGCTACTGAATGTCTAATATGATGATTTTCGGATGAGTCTGCTGAAGATATAATCGTCACATATCTGTTATGTCGAATGACTTCCTGTCTGAATAATTCCCGTTAACTTTGTAAATTGATAGTATTGATTTCCTGCTAATTGTAGCATACTTTGCAGACTTTGACAAGCGTTGTCTGCTGCCTCAGTTCTGGGAACTAAACAATCTGCCTCTACATTCAGATAAAAGAACTGCCAAAGAATTTGTATGTGAATGCTGTTAGCCTCTTGGGTGAGTTTTTTTTAATTTATTAAAATTTTAAATTCTATATTTCTAAAATTAATGTAATAAACAATTACGTTAATGTTACAATTTACAATGTTAAATATACAACTTAATGATGGTTACAAAATTTAACTTTAGATCATCTTGACCAACAATTTACCAGTTGTATACCACAGAATATTAATATCTAGTTGTATAGAGAAGTTTGTTTTAAAAGGTAACCAACTTGAAATATTTCTTTAAAAATTAAATGTATAGTATTTGTATTCAGTCCGTTAGTATTAAACCAATTTTTTTTTTACTCTAACTTTAAAAATCGATGGTAGTCCTTCAATTAGGGGAAGTGTATAGGTTCAGCTGTTACTGGGCTGGAGTGAGCAGTATGTAGCAGAGTTCAGACAGATGTGTTGGTCAGTCCTCCAATCTTGTAAATCAAAGTACAATATTGAGGTAATGTAGTTGCTGGTACATTGTTGTACAATAGATGGCTTCAGCCTGCAAGTTACATTGTGGTACATAAGAACAAAGGTAACTGCAGAAGGCCTATTGGCCCATACGAGGCAGCTCCTATTTATACACACCCAATCCCACTCGTGTACATGTCCATTACTTAATCTTTTATGATGATAATTTCGGATGAGTCTCAGTAAGATGTTCGTCACTATCAGTATGTTGAATCAACCATGTCTGAAGTATTCAGTGCCAATGTTAGTTTTATTTAATCTGTTGCTTTTCCTAATTGTTTTGTTTCCTTGCAGGTGGGGCATGATGGTGGGTGGCACCTGTAGTTCATAATGGTGAGTTTACTAATTTGTTATACAATTTTATATTGCTATGCCTGCTTTGACTAAATGCCTCGTGTGGAATACTGGTGGATGCAGTAGTATGTTTCTAGGGTCATTGTACCCAGTTACCATAACACTTCAGTGCAGCTGAAGACATTTTTCGTTCTCTACCTATGCATTCAAACCATAATTTGTACCTATAGGCACTATAGATAGTTTAGTATTACAGATAATACTGTATTCTGTTGAGTAAAAGATGCCCAAAGCCTTTACCATGCTACTGTAATGAGTGCAGGAAACTGCTGGCCAGGCTGCATATTGGCAAGTAGCCTAATTATGTGGTACTTAACTGAACAAATGCATTGCCATGTCTGAACTACAATGCCCCACTCTTGTCCTTCATAAACTAGTCTTTTGGGATCGAAAAATTTAGACCCAAATTGATAACTGGCGAATCTGATGCCCCCCATCATTTTTTTCTAATGGCATTTAGGCTGTTGATTAATCGGTTAGTGCTAAATGTTTCCAGCTTGGTTCTTTATAAGAGGTGAATGTCGTTCTGGCTTAGAGATCACACTAACGTGATGCATCAGGGGGCGTTGTGTAAAAATCCTGGTTTGTGCCCGAGAGGCTATGGGATTCAGTAAGTTCAGTAGAACTACGGTTTCAACTTTTTTTACCCTGTCGTAGCTCTGTCGATTAAGGCAGCGTCTGGGATGCTCCCAGACGCAGGTTTGAATCCTCGTCACGGCCCTTGTGGATTTGTTCTTTCTGGCATATTTTAAATTGATCTGGCTAATATTTTTAATTTTATATATACGTAAATTAAGATCTTTGCAAATACCTCTAGTTTTAATTTGTCCCCTTTTTGTATTCTTTGTGGAATACTAAAAAATATAAAACTAAGGAATAACTTGCAAATTTCAGGCACTGAAATAGGGCTTAACCGAAGGAAACTGCAATGGGTTAGCCAAGGTTGAACTACACTAAATGGGTTACATGCACATGTGCCTTTGCTAAAATTTGACTTGATATAATTTCATGCAGGTGTAACCATCTGGACATTAAATTTATATATAATTGGTTATAATTTAGAAATAAGCCAGTTTTGTGTAAGTTAGTTACTGGGTCATTTTTAAATATTGTGGCCTATTTGAAAGCATAATGTTTTACTACTGACATTGTGGTGCGTCTAGGCCTATAGAAAGAGTAGATCTGCGCATAAGCACGTTCAAAAGAATGTGATTCATGCTTTACTAACAGCAACCAAGACCAGGCCAAGTACTGGTTAATGTTTCCTCGACCTGTCCCCACGGGTTTTCCTGTAGATCTGTGGGTTGACAGTGGTCACAAATTAAGGTGCTGGGGGGGGGGATGACTTGTGGCAAGGAAGTTTAGGATGTATAAAGTAATAGGCTTTCTTATTGCAGAATGTACATGGACTGGGCTGTAATGGTGTGGACCACAGGTTTTGGTACAAAGGTGAGTTTTAACTTCATTAGGCTTTAAAACTAATTAAAACAAGACATGATGATTCTACTTATTACCTACATTATTTGACATTCATGATAAAATGAGTAACTGAGGTAGTCTTTAATGTAGTAAATGATTTTATAAGATTGTTTAGGTGGTTAATTTAATTTTACTCAACAGCTGGATGATGTCAAGATTGGGGAAAACTCGTGGAAGTGCACTGGATTACTTGTTTAGAAAGACATTAAATGAGGTTTGTTGAATACTACATATGAGTGAATCTGCTTTGCAATAGGCAAGTGTTGGGATAATGGTACAAGTGTTTTGCTATTGTTAAATTATAGCATCACTACAGTAAAGGCCAAAGGAATTTATTTCCCTGTACATAGCTGTTTTGTCCAAATTGATGAAGAATAAGCCATTGCACATTTTGTCCAAATAATGTGCAATGGCATATTCTTCATCCAAGCAAAAGTAAAAAGTAATCCTTTCAACAGACGCCTTAAAATGTTGGCTGCACAAGATTTGTAACTGACAAGCCAACATATACAGCCTGGTAGTAAAGGCCTTTCTCAATTTGCTTTCATATGATGATTGTCTAGTTTTGTTGCCATGTCTGCTATATTAAATCCTGCAAGTGGTATTCTATACTATATATGTATCCAGACAGATCATTTATTTTAGATCAACGCTTAGCATATTAATTCTATGGAAGCATTGGCCTATAAAAGGTTTTATTGGTAAGAATAGGTTGCCACTGGAATAACCAACAATTTTCTGTTCTTTTGTGGTGTTGCTTTGTCTTCACCACACTTGAGCAAGACTGGTGCTCTCCGTGGTGGTGTTGGAAGCACTAATTGCTCTCCTGGATGCCCTTTGGGTAGATTTGGCCACACTTTTGCTAGAATAACACTTCAAACTAGTAGATTTCCACTACAAAGTGTTTTATCCCAGTATATAGCAGACATGAGTAAATTAATAACTACCGTCTGTACGTTACTCGGTATTGTGGCATCGTTACAAGTGGTATTGGGTGGGAGGGTGGGTTTGCTGCTACAAAATATTTGCCTTGTAAAATTCCTTGCTAGCCTAAAATGAGGCGGTGTAATCTAGTTACAAAGCACTGCAAATTTAGAGCATTACCCACTAGGTTAAGTAATGTTTATAAGACTTTGTATGTGTGATGTTCCATTTTCACTCCACCATCCTCCCCCGCCCCCTTGTTGTACTGTATATATTAATGGAATAAAAGACCTGTAGTTTTGTTCAGGTAAAGTGGGTAGTAATTAGTATTGGCCAGGTGCTGTGCACGCCAAGATAGTATGATGACCCTTATCTTATAACTGACTGCTGATGTATAGTTACGGATCTCTGAGGAGTTGACTTGGCTAACTTTATCACTAGGAATTTTTTGTTGTATTTAAAGATTTTCACATTTCAGATCGGAGATGGCAACTCTTTTTAAGTTTTGGAAGTTTACCGCTTTAGTAAACACAGCAGTTGCAATGAAATTGGGTAAGTTTTTTGTTAAATTTGAATTCATAAATATAATTGAAGGTGTCTAATTTGGCTCCACCTAAAACTTTTCTTAATGCACTGTATTAATGTTGTCAATACTGTACTCTAGTAATCCACTTCACATCTTTTCATAGTTAAACAAAATTTACCATTGATTTACTGGGACCCTTTCTTAAATAGGGAGTAGGAAGCTTTACTACTGCCTACTACTAAATAAGCAGTAGCAAGTTTTTAGTATGGCATTTTCTTTTAATTATATTAAGACGATAAGATAGCTGCTTTCAAGTGCCTTGTCAGGAATATGCTAGATTGCTATTGTGGTGGTGGTTGGGAATGAATAAATTGAATTGACATAATTTAAATTGACTAATTTATTGTGAATGTTTGGAAATTAATTGCCCAATTATGTTTCGACACTGAATAATTTAGACTAGTGTAATGGGCTAGTGCAGGGCTACTGAATGTCTAATATGATGATTTTCGGATGAGTCTGCTGAAGATATAATCGTCACATATCTGTTATGTCGAATGACTTCCTGTCTGAATCATTCCCATTAACTTTGTAAATTGTTAGTATTGATTTCCTGCTAATTGTAGCATACTTTGCAGACTTTGACAAGTGTTTAGTCTGCTGCCTCAGTCCTGGTGAACTGAACACTCTGCCTCTACATTCACATAAAAGAACTGCCAAAGAATTCATATGTTAGCCTCTTGGGTGAGTTTAATTTAAATTTAAATTATAATTTAAGAAACTTAAATTATTAAATATAATGTAATAAACGATTGGCAGTGTTTGGCAATTGCCTTTACCTGAACTGCAGCCTTCCAATCCTGTAAATCTTCAGTATGTTATTGAGGTAAATTGGTTGATACATTGTTGTACAACTGATTGCTTCAGCCTGCAAGTTAGATATTTGTGGTACTTTACTCAATCTTTTATGATGATAATTTCGGATGAGTCTCAGTAAGATGTTCGTCACTATCAGTATGTTGAATCAACCATGTCTGAAGTATTCAGTCCCAATGTTAGTTTTATTTAATCTGTTGCTTTTCCTAATTGTTTTATTTCCTTGCAGGTGGGGCATGATGGTGGCACCTGTAGTTCATAATGAAGGCGAGTTGATTTATTGTACAGTTAACTAATATTACAAAAACTAAATTTTTTTTTAAATGGCTGTAGTCATGTGGCATACAGCTGGGGGCAGAAGTCTGCTTCTAGGGTCATTGTACCAATTACACTGGAGTATAAAATAAGACGTGATGATTCTACTTATTACCTACATTATTTGATGTACATGAAAAAATTAGTAACTGAGGTGGTCTTTAATGCAATAAATTATTTTATCAAGTTTTCAGTCATTAATTGATTTTTTTTATCAACAGCTGGGTGTTGTCAAGATTGAAATGTTCCTGGAAGTCTGCTGCAACATTAAATGAAAGGTTTGTTAAATACTGTACATTTATGCATAGTGAATCTGCTTTGCAATAGGAAAGTGTTGGGATGAAGATAGTGACAACGTTATTACTGTAGTGTGAAAGTGTAGCACTCCAATTGGAGCAAATAATTTCCCAGAATAAGATTGGTGTAAATAACCAACCATTGTTCAGTTTTGAGTATTTCATGGTAGGAGAGTTACTATTGTAGTAATTGCCAGAGGCCAGATTCACGAAAGCACTTGCGAATCTGTACATCTTTTCTCAATCTTTGGTGGCTTTGTTTACAATTATTAAACAGTTGATGAGCTCCGAAGCACCAGGAGGATGTTTGTAACAATAACAGTTAAATGGCAAGTTTCCATGCTTGTGAACTGTAATAAATGTAACCAAAGCCGTCAAAGATGAGGAAAGATGTACACGATCGTAAGTGCTTTTGTGAATCTGGCCCCAGATTTTGGGTAGAAATTGGTGAAATGTTTCAAGTTAGAGAACCATTTATGAACTAAGTCTTATTTTTAGATTTTACCAAATCTTTTGGCTATAATAAAAACATTATATAAATTTATTAGGAGCTACATAGACTATATGGCTTGGTGCTTTTTGATAATTGGTCACATGTTAGGAATAGTACTACTTTACATAAATATAAAAGCTAGGGGAAAGGATTAAACAAGCATTTACCCATCTGCTTGCAAAGCTGTAAATGTAAATGCCAAACTGCTCCGAAGCACTACAACTTAGGACAGTTGGGGATTGAACGCAGTAAAATGGTTGGGCACCATTCCGTTCCCCTGTTCAATCGCATACCCTTATCCCGACCCTCTTCCAAGTGCTATAGTCGTAATGGCATGTCACTTTTCCCTGATAATTACCTTCCCTCTGAAGCACTAGGAGGCTTTTTATACCATGTGATTTAAAGTTTTCACTGTAAATGCTTGTTGAATACTGGTTCAGGTCTATTTTATTTAGCTTCAAAATGTGGCTGCATCATGGACTTGGAAAAACATTGTGTATAGTTGCCCTGATAAGCTTTTTTAGGCACTTAAATTAAGGTGAATTAGTTGCTGCTGCTACTTAAGTTTTTAATCACGTAAGCGAGCCTGAAAAATGCAGTATGCAGCTAATAATTTACCAATCTACTTGCAAAGCTGTAAATCTCTTGCTTTTATATTTGCTAAACTGATCCAAAGCACTACCTCTTGTACGGTCGGGAATTGAAAACCGCCAAAGTGGTTGGGCACCATTCCTTGAAGCCTGTAAATGCCTTAGACATGCAGTGTCTGCAAAAATGATGATAATTTATACTTTCGTTCTCCTGAACTTATTGATGAATTCATTCCCTGATGATCTTTTAAAGTTCTTGTAAATACTGTTGTGTGCCGTGTCTGAAGTGTTTCCTTCCATAGGTTTGGCTGCTGGACCTCGCCCCTTCACTCCCTGCCCAAGTTGCCTGCAAGTCTTCATAAGGCAGTATTGCCCTACTGGAAGAGCTGAATGCACAAGATTATGATTGTATATATATATATCTTAATAAATTATCTTTTTAACATATATAATTTATTAAGCCTACTGTAACTATTAAGCCCTCCAGTATATAAAGATTTTCCTAAACTACATGGCAGTTTAATTTCTGCAATAACATATACCCGGCAGTCATTGCACTAGTATGTAATAATGCTAACTTGACTAGGAATGGGTTTGCTAATGCAGAAAGATCTTCATAAATATAGACTAGAAAATATTTGTCTGGTCATTTCTTCAACAGTTTGAAATGTACTCAACGTTTAAATTATTCCACCTCAGTGATTGGAGGAATGTATTTGCAATTTTCTTCTAAGGTTTGTCTGCACCAGTCTTGACCAGTGTCTGGCAGATACTAATACAGTAAAAGCCTAAGGAATTTATTACCTTGTACATAGCTATTTGGACAAAACGTGTATGGTGACAGCTTAATTTTCATCTTTGTACAAGCTTCAAGTGATAAGCCATCTCGACAGCCCTGAAGTAAAAATAACGGCCTGGTATTAAATTTCTAAATTTGATTTTGAATGATTAATTAAGTTTTGTTGCCATGTCTGCTATATTAGTTCCGCAAGTGGTATTCTCGCAACCTGTACTCTTAAACATTACATCTAAATTTGGCAGTTTGCCCGTATGGACGCACTAGGAAAGAAACAAATGAAAATTTATATATTTTTTTTTTCAAAGTTTTTAAGGTTCCTCTGGTAGGGTAGGAAATTCTAGGGTCACAACATGGAAAAACGAAAATTGAAAGTTTCCTTTCCTAACCTAACAGTAAGCCAGAATAACAAAGCGGGACTACATTTTCGAGCCGATTTTATTTAAAATGATGTCCATTTTTTTGGTCATATCGCGCACACGCAAAATCTGACTTTAAAATTGATTGGCATATAACAAATATGACGGTGTAAATTTTTTCTTTAAATGAAGTTGCTTCATTTCTTAGGATTGGTCGGGTGTTGGCTGTGCAAATCACGTGTTATCCTATTTGCATTTGCTTCCAGTATTGGTGATGGTGTCTACTTCCTAGGTGTCACTTCTCATTCTGGTGCCATAAGTCTTATGGCCTGTTGTGCTGTAGCTTCCTGTTGGTCTCTTTTTACCCTTCTGATCCTTAATCGCCCTGCACTTGCTGAGATTAATCCTGCAGCCCTTTATCTGCCCATTCTTGAAGTTTGCTCTTGTTTGCATTCTAATTAGTTTTATCTTTGTAACTAGTGCATGAACTCGCCCCTTCCAGCAGGTTAACATGAACATCAATGGGCTCAAGGTCGAGCCTTAACTCTAGTTTGACATTTATCTGAGGTGCTGGTAGCTCTAGGTGGTGGTGGAGGTCCTGGTGGTTGAAATTGAAATAAGTTTATAAAATACACAAAGGGATGAGGTAGCTCAAGCTATTGTCACCCAGTTACCTGGTGGTGGTATGGGCAAGTGGGTTGGGGTATAGGGCGATAGAAAGGTCTATAATGTACTTACATTATATACAAAAGATTGAACTGGACAAACTATGCGCTGGTTGTGTGCTATAATATAAATTATTCTGGCCAGAAAGCTAGAAAATATATTTTCAATGCACAACGCTAAAGAAAAATGATTGTATTCTATCTGCAGACAAATACTCTATAACATTAGGTTGAAAGAAGATAATGGAGTTAATACTTTAAAATCACTTTCAATGCATGTCATGTAGGTAAAAAAAAAAAAAAAAAAATTGCATATTATTTTAATGTATTGTAGAGGAAGAGCATAAGAGTACTGACGAAAGGTCCAGCTGTTGCTCCAACACTCAATATCATAGAATGATATTGAGAGGCATTCTTCACCTGTTTTATTTTCGGGGGCCCTAAAATATTATACACCATGCGCCAAAGTTTTCTTTTCTCCAAAATGAATATTAGAATTGTTTTCCTTCATGATTTCTTTACCAGTTTGGTCCAATTGTGAATTACATTACTGTTTCGTGTCGCCCTTTAAATATCTGCATTATTAGTTTCTTTATATATCGGTAATGACCAATCATGCCCAAAGACTTGAGAGTAATGACTTCATACCTCCAAAAATGCATCAGTGTAACACCTTCAAACACCCACATGTGCAAAATAAGTGACCGTTTTTTTGGTCTCTGTAGATTTGACTAAATGTAAACTGTCAGCAGAACTATTTGTATACTTTGCGTCATTATATAATGGAATGTGAAAAAATTGCGGAATTTAGAGATAACACCATCAATAGTGTCCAAGAAATGTGTAAGTACTTCATTCATAATGATGTGCTGCCCAAAATCTTAGCGAAGTATCCAAAATTTGCTGACTGTAGGTAATGCATGTACATGACTGTAAAGCTGCCGCCCAGTTGGGTGGGTGTGGAGCACATGACTGTAAAGCTGCCGCCCAGTTGGGTGGGTGTGGAGCACATGACTGTAAAGCTGCCGCCCAGTTGGGTGGGTGTGGAGCACATGACTGTAAAGCTGCCGCCCAGTTGGGTGGGTGTGGAGCACATGGCTGTAAAGCTGCCGCCCAGTTGGGTGGGTGTGGAGCACATGACTGTAAAGCTGCCGCCCAGTTGGGTGGGTGTGGAGCACATGACTGTAAAGCTGCCGCCCAGTTGGGTGGGTGTGGAGCACATGGCTGTAAAGCTGCCGCCTAGTTGGGTGGGTGTGGAGCACATGGCTGTAAAGCTGCCGCCCAGTTGGGTGGGTGTGGAGCACATGGCTGTAAAGCTGCCGCCCAGTTGGGTGGGTGTGGAGCACATGACTGTAAAGCTGCCGCCCAGTTGGGTGAGTGTGGAGCACATGACTGTAAAGCTGCCGCCCAGTTGGGTGGGTGTGGAGCAAATGGCTGTAAAGCTACCGCCCAGTTGGGTGGGTGTGGAGCACATGACTGTAAAGCTCCCGCCCAGTTGGGTGGGGGGCACATGACTGTAAAGCTGCCGCCCAGTTGGGTGAGTGTGGATCACATGGCTGTAAAGCTGCCGCCCAGTTGGGTGGGTGTGGAGCACATGGCTGTAAAGCTGCCGCCCAGTTGGGTGGGTGTGGAGCACATGACTGTAAAGCTGCCGCCCAGTTGGGTGAGTGTGGAGCACATGACTGTAAAGCTGCCGCCCAGTTGGGTGAGTGTGGAGCACATGACTGTAAAGCTCCCGCCCAGTTGGGTGGGTGTGGGGCACATGACTGTAAAGTTGCCGCCCAGTTGGGTGGGTGTGGAGCACATGACTGTAAAGCTGCCGCCCAGTTGGGTGGGTGTGGAGCACATGGCTGTAAAGCTGCCGCCCAGTTGGGTGGGTGTGGAGCACATGGCTGTAAAGCTGCCGCCCAGTTGGGTGGGTGTGGAGCAAGATTAGTAACATGATTAAATATGTATATATATATGTACATGTATGTATGAGTATGTGTACATGTATATATAACATTAATAATTTTGTAACTAGCGTCAAAAGATTGTTATTTGCTTAGCTAAACGAACTAGAAGGTTCAGTTCCTGAACCGATTATGTGCCTCTGTAATCCTTTACACCACCTCCTACGGGATGGGTATCGGGTGCATAATAAAGAAATTGAATTCTTGGCCCCTTATCCAGCTGTAACTTGATAATGCAATGGTATCCCTTTCATTTAATTAACTTGTGGTTTTCAGATTTAACTTGTGATCTGGCTGAGTTATTGGTTTTCAGCTGCGTTATTGTGACATTCTCTGCACACTCAATGTGCCAGACACCACCAACAAGCCTTGCAAATTGTTGACAACAACCAATGTTGCCCTTGAAGTACAATATATGAGCACTGACCTCTCATTGGCGACTGGTCGTTCCGTACAAGAGACGTTTCGACGAAGCTCATTTTCTGTTTATGTATTATGCTAGGCCGTATTAGCTTAGGTAAAGATATATTGGGCTGAGGTGGGTTGGGTTAAGCTGAACTAGGTTAAGGGGGCATGACCTCAGTTTTGGAAAAGTTGTTCAATATCAACCAACAACCTAACCTTAGAAGCTTTCTAGAAGGTTGTAAGGTACGGAAGAAAGGTACCCATGGGCACCACACCAAATACCTATTTGATATTCCAAGAATACGACTTAACCAAACTAGAAATGCTCTACAACTCAAGGGACCCAGAATGTGGAATGACCTTCTCAATCATGTCAAAGACTGTATCTCTCTCAACCAGTTTAAGAGTAAAACTATGTACTACGTAATGAGCTCCATGTAATCTTCCTTACCCCCTAAATGTCAACCCATGTCTTGCTATTTTAAACAATGCTGTTTGTTGACCAACTTGTATAATTGCTGATTTCTGCCATGTCTCCCCCCCCCTACCTTTTTTTTTTCTTTTTCTGTTTTTTTAACACAATTTATACTTTAATCTCATTTACTATTAAGTTTTAGTCTGTTTTTTTTTCCCCCACACCTTGCTCGAAACGCTGTGCATATTAGTGGCTTTAGGTATTGCATGTACTACCTCTATCTATAAATCCAACATTATGTTTGTAACTGTTCATCTATGTACTTTACCTGAATAAAAATTTGAATTTGAATGCACTGTATCCTCTATATATTCAGACATACAACCCCTAGGCTAGAAGTAAGTAATTATAAAAAAGAAGGCACCAAACCGGGAAGACTCTGTAGCACCATCAAATGCGCGGGATAATCAGAGAGCCCCCCTAGGCTAGAAGCCTCAACATATCTAGTGGGATTAATGACCTCCAGGGTTAAGCCTTGGCTTAACTAGTCTGGGCCCATGACCCATGAGTCAGCAGCCACAAACCTTGACACTTGTGGCTCAGCATGACACCACCACAGGTCACAATAATAGCCTACTGAGCATTGTGTCCCCCCCCCCCCCCCCCATAGATTTGAAGGCTACAACTTGTGCGTTACAAAACACAAATGAAGGATGCGTTATTTAATTCAAATTTATTTAAGTTTTATCATGTTCTACAAAAATTCAAATAATTAATTATTTTGGGTGTTCATCAGTACATACAATACTGTACAAAAACTATTACTAAACCAATATGGGCAATTTCAAACTTATTACATAATTTTAACAACCAATTCCATATCTTTTAATTCATAAATTGGTTATTTATCATGAAACTACACTGAACAACATCTATCTTTATATTGTAAAGTATTATTAATAACAATACATTTTCACAGCAACAACATATCAAGTTATTCTCAAATGGTATAAAACAGCTTGGCACTCTACAGTACTGATAAGTGACATGACCACAATACAGACATGTATGTGCAGCACCAGCCCTTCTAACTCACTATACCAAGCTAAATGTAAATTTAAACTAAAACAAATGTATTTGATTTTGATACTTCACAAAATCTAAAATCAAATGTTATTTACCAATTCATATAAAGTAAGTCGAAGCTCGTAATTACAGCCAAACTTTACAGCGGCAATCAACATGTACTCAAAGTTGTCGTGACTGTTCATAAATGAGGAATAAAATCTAATGTCCCATCCCAGAGTGAGAGTGAAACACTGATCAATGACACCAACCCACACAGAGCACAGCAAAGCCTGTTCTCTGTACCAAGGCTGATGAGTCTTGGCACTGTGAAATGAGTACTGTGTTTACGAACTTTTACTCATGCCAAAGTCCAAGTTAATAATCATGTAAAATGTGGTTAAAATAGAGCAAAATGCAGTCAATACTGTCCTTCATGAATGAAGGCAAATAATTTCCCTGTCTCTGCATTTAGCACAGCAAAATCTTGCTATTGTTACCAGACCATGCAACAATTCTCAATGTATAACAAGACATGCCGAGTGATTTAAACAATTCCGGGCATAATATAGGCAATATTGTCGAGGATATTCATGAGTGTCGGCTCTGGGACAGCCCCCTGCATCTGGCTAACTTGGGCCGTCAGGCACGTCAACGGTCCCAATACGCACAACATGGAGTCAAGAAGCACTGACAGGCTTCCTGATACAGCAATCTGACCCTGGAACACAAGAGAAGTATATATAAACAGTATGTATATAAAACCATTAAATTTTGTTAACATTATGCCATATTTACAAAACTGGGGCCAGATTCACGAAGCAGTTACGAAAGTACTTACGAATGTGTACATCTTTCCTCAATCTTTGACGCCTTGGTTACATTTATTAAACAGTTTACAAGCATGGAAACTTCCCAATTAACTGTTGCTATTGTTATAAACATTCTCCTGGTGCTTCAGAGCTCATTAACTGTTTAATAATTGTAAACAAAGATGCCAAAGATTGAGAAAAGATGTACAGGTTCGTTGTAAGAATGAAGGGGGTACAGTACTTAAGTGATTATAACTTTCTTGAGAATGTGTAGTTCTGATCTTAACTTTCTTGATGCTTGGACAATAGTCCCCCAGAAGATTACTAATACAGTACAATTTATGGAACATATACAAACAGTTTATCATCGTCATCATCATTAACCCATTCAGCATTTCTATGGCATGGGGGAGGCGTCAGCTGATGCAAGTAGTAAAGTAGCGGGGAAAATAAGTGAACAAACACGACATTACAAATTAACACCTGTCCATGCACTAAATCTTCAACACCTCACAGAATCACCTCACACTGGAAAGTCACCCAATTATTCTGTACTAGGGGGGGCCTGGTAGCCTGGTGGATAACGCGCAGGTCACGTAATTCTGTGGCGGGAGTTCGATTCCCGCACCAGGCTGAAACAAATGGGCACAGTTTCTTTCACCCTGAATGCCCCTGTTACCTAACAGTAAATAGGTACCTGGGAGTTAGTCAGCTGTCACGGGCTGCTTCCTGGGGTGTGTGTGTGTGTGTGTGGTGTGGGGGGGGGGAAGTAGTTAGTAAACAGTTGATTGACAGTTGAGAGGCGGGCCGAAAGAGCAAAGCTCAACCCCCGCAAACACAACTAGGTTAATACTTTATAAGAGACAATTTCTGTATCTACTAATTTAATTAACCACTAACATATTTGTGCGTATTTTATAAATAAGGTCAATGTCTTATTTTCTTTACCTTCTTTACTGCGACAGGCATTGTTATAATGTATTTAGGAGTAGAGTTCTTGCTCATAAAATCTTTGTACGTTTGCCTAATTACTTTTTTCAGATGAAAACTAGTTTGAGTTTAACCAAATATTTCACATAAACATTCAATAATTTGAGAATATTTAGCCATATCATACAATGCAACATTTGCAATACAATATACCAAAGGGATACATATATATTTAATCATCAACTGATTAGTGACACATCCACAGAAAATGGAAACTTTGTATTTAGGGGAAACTAATGAAAAAAAATCTTAAATACAGTACAGTACGACAACAATGAATACACAGAATACAGAAATGTTCAAGTTTGACCATTTAATATTTATTATACTGTAATTAAATAGTATAATATTTTTTTGTAGATTCCCAACTACCTGGATTTATGTCTTTGGGTAGCCTGATTACACAATACATGATTACATGTAAGTATATATGTGGGTACACTTACAGTACATGTATATAAAGTATAAATATCTACTTATACAACCATCAACCTCTCTGCTCTCAACTAAATATTGCACAACATAAATACAGTTGTATTGCATAAATTTCTCAGCATCACCATCAAGGTTTCCATTAAGGGATACAAGAGACAACATAACTCGCAGAAAAGACAAGCCGGCACCACCACGACCGCCCGACACAATCTGATGCACAGTTGCCAACACCAAGCGTACAATCTTAATCCTTTCTCACAGATACATCACTGTCTCAAGATGTATCTGTGTACACCCTTTATATGCTCTAAAGTTGAGTGGTTCCCAACCAGTTGGGGCTGACCAATGGGGCCAGTCACATTTTAGCTTTCCAGAAAGAACTGCCGAGATGGACACAACTGAACATATTATGTTCAAATGTGGCAGGTTTTAAGAATGTTAGAAAATAGAGCCATGAATACAAAATAAATAAAGGTTGGGTACCACTGCTCGAGTTATTAATATTTTCTTGTCCAACTATAGGATGATGGCGGCATCGCTGGTGCCAAAACACAGGCAACCAGTACAATTCATAGTTTAAAAGTAAACAAAGTCATCCATTCAATACTAATCAAAATACAGCTGATATATTTTTCAAGGTCTGCCATTTTCTTTTTGTCTTAAGTACGGTATTGTATATATATCGGTTGACTCCCAACTGACAATCCACACACTTCATAAATTTGTTTCATATCGGTTGACTCCCAACTGACAATCCACACACTTCATAATTTTGTTTCATATTTCTATAAGTAGGTAACAGACGGTACTAATTCACATTTTGAGATGTGCGGTACTGAAAGAATCACCTAAAGACCAAATCTTTAATCAAAGACCAAATCAGTGACACACACATCAACATAACTGGTCAATCTAGCAAAACTTAACAAAACAAAACATTTATAACAAAATCAGTATGATGATGATGAGGCTGTCAAGTAACTGAAGTACAGTAGTTAATATTGTCTATTTCACACCTAAAAAAAAAAAAGACAGATCAATCTGACAAGGAAAATTCATTCAAATGCCAAATCATTTTTAAAATACTATGTGAAACTATTAATATAGGGCAAGTCATTAATACTAGTAGTTCCCAGTGAGAATAACTGATGGGGCCTAGACCTGAACACTACTGTAATAATTGTACCCTTAATTTGAAACCTCAGATTCCTTGTTGTATTACAGATTTGATCTTCATGAGGAGTTCTTGCAGATAATTCCCGTCACTCAGCAGAAACTGATTTTGCACAGTAACGCGTCACAACACTGTACTCGTTAAAAAGTGCCAACTTCAAATCTAATCAAGTTATTTGTACTGTAAAGGAAGAAGTGTCAACAACCTGCATATTCCAAAATGTGATACAGTATAGAAAAAATAATAAACGTAATGACTTTTATGCACGTAATGATCGCAAGTCAAATAAACTCAATTATAAAGCCATATTTCTTCTTTAAAACAAAACAAAGTATCTGAGACAAGTCTAGCTACAAAAGCTATACAATTTCATATATTTCCTCATAAAAATGTAATGCATTTTGGTGACACCGAGCTGCGAAGACTTGGGGTACTGAAGTCAAAGATAGACTGTACAGTATATATATATGTATACCACTTGCTGGAGACGCCTGTGGCACAGCACATTCACACATTCACCAGCACTGACCAAAGGCCTTCATTTCTCCATCGCTCTCCTCATCAGACACATTTTTAAACTGTGCTCTTCTTCTTTGTGCTTGAGGTCAAGTTCGTAAGCTTTCTCCATGTGCTGTAATTTGCTGAGCGCAACCATTTTCTTTAGGTTGTACACTTCCAGTTGGAGGTCTACCAGTTCTCTCTGCTTCTTGGCAAGCACGATATCGTGGTCACAGAGCACACTGTATTTGTCTCTCTTGCGAGCCCTGCCCCGTTTCACACGGACGTGGCCATTCTCGGGACTCGAAGATGAGGCCGGAGATGCTGTTCTGGTCGGTGGAGTGACGGGCAAGAGTATCCGTGGCACTGCCGACGAGGCTATTGATTGTACAAGTTCCGGAATGCCTTCATGGTCGTCGTACTCCTCTCCATTGTCTGCGAAGAAGTAATATTTAGAGTCAAATAACTCACAACACATACATACTGGGTATTACATAAAACATATTAACTACTATACCTGCTATAAGTAGATTTGTAGCAGTATTGCCTAATAAGCCTAAGTGGTAATATAGATCTTACAAGGGATCATAACCCCACGTAAATTGCAAAAGATGAAACCTGTTTAAATAAGATCAACACTGATAAGCTTAAACAGCGATCACGATGTTCACTGTGATCAGCCTGTGAAATTATAGCATATAGAGCACATGGTGGCTTACTTGCCTAGAGCACATGGTGGCTTACTTGCCTAGAGCACATGGTGGCTTACTTGCCTAGAGCACATGGTGGCTTACTTGCCTAGAGCACATGGTGGCTTACTTGCCTAGAGCACATGGTGGCTTACTTGCCTAGAGCACATGGTGGCTTACTTGCCTAGAGCACATGGTGGCTTACTTGCCTAGAGCACATGGTGGCTTGCTTGCCACACGGCTAATTCAAAAATACCTGTTCTGTACTGTATTAGTTTTAGGGTCTTATTACTAGTAAAATCATTAATGCCTTTTTTCTCCTAATCCAAATCTTTTAACACACCGAAGATGCCATGTTTAAAATATACTGTTTATATTTTCTCACAGGCAAGTAGAGAAGCAGATACAGTGGTACCTTGAATAACGATCGCTTCAAATGGCGAACATTTTGGGTAGCGATCGGCCCGATCGCTGACAATTTGTCTCGTATGGCGATCGCTCGTTTGAATAACGACGACCCCACATGGTGGGGTGGTGCTACTTCTTGCACATTCTCGGATGCCTCCGACAATGCAAATGAATTATGTTGATTTTGTGTAAAGATGCTAATGATGCTGGGATATAAAGGGGTGACTGCTGAGATGTTGCAAGGCAATGACTTTTTTGTAGAAAAAAGAAATGAAATTGTTTGAAATACAACAAATGTCAAAAAGGTCGTTCGGTGTTCGGCAGGTAGGCTGCTCCACGTTTCTTAAAAAAAAAAAAAAAAAAAAGGTTGAAACAATTTGAAAAATGGACAAATGCCATAAAGGTTCATTCAGTGTTTGTCGGGTAGGCTGCTCCATTATTGAGACGTAAATGAAAAATACAAAACAAATGGAGCACATTTGAAACAAAGAAAGATTGCTATGATGGACCAGCCTATCCGACAAACACTGAACGATCCTTTATGGCATTTGTCCGTTTTTCAAATTGTTTCAGCAGTTTTTTTTTATTTTTTCCTTTTTTTTTTATTTAAGAAACATGGAGCAGCCTACCTGCCAACCACTGAACAAACCTTTTTGACATTTGTTCTGTTTTTCAAAATTGTTCATTTTTTTCCGTTTTTTTTATTTAAGAAACATGGAGCAGCCTACCTGCCGACCACTGAACGAACTTTTTGCTATAAGACAAATGAAAAAAAATATTGAACAAATTTGAAGAAAGGAAAATGTCATAAAGGTTTATTCCGTGTATGTAAGATAGGGAGCCGGTCAGCCGGGCGGACAGCACGCTGGACTTGTGATCCTGGGTTTGATCCCAGGCGCCGGCGAGAAACAATGGGCAGAGTTTCTTTCACCCTATGCCCCTGTTACCTAGCAGTAAAATAGGTACCTGGGTGTTAGTCAGCTGTCACGGGCTGCTTCCTGGGGGTGGAGGCCTGGTCGAGGACCGGGCCGCGGGGACACTAAGGCCCCGAAATCATCTCAAGATAACCCTCCTAACGAACCCTCCTAGGCCATTATTTAAAACATCGCATATTATATTGATGTTTTTCGGTGGTAGAACGGATTAATTTGATTTCCATTATTGTTAATGGGGACAATAATATTATATTATAATATTAACAATTCGTTTTGTATGACGTCCGTTTCACATGACGATTATGGCGCCGGCTCGGATTAAATTCATTATTCGAGGTTCCACTGTAACCTCTCTCTTTTGTTAGCAGGCTTAATGTCTTCAGTTCCCACAGCTCATCTTAACCACTTCCAATAGTTTTCCTTGGCACAAGATCTGCCAATCAGTTTAACCACCAAGTTCCCAATTACTGCTGGGTGAAGAGAGGCAAACAGTTAAGGATCAGTGCCCAGTCGACCCTCCCTGCCTAGGGCTTGGACCTGAATTCAATAAGAGGACTTCTAAATGAAATGGCAACAAGAGAATACAGGTGTGGGTGTAAGAAGCGATAGAACAATATAACTAAATAGAAGCGGCAAGAACAGAATTCATATACTGTATGTAAAAGTTTGCAGTACCATACTGAAAAGCTTAAGTCCCCCCAGGGTACTGTGCTTGTTCCAGCAATTTTTATTCTCAAATTAGATATGGATGAGGACACAAGCTGTAGTTTTGTATAATCCTCTGAAGATGACACTAGGTTTTTATTTTTAGAGTAGACAACGTAGAGGAAACAGCAAACCTCCAAACTGATGGTAATCAGGTTTTCCAATGGGCGACAAAAAGCAACATGATGTTTAATGAAAACACATTGTAGCTCACGTGCTATGGTAAAAATTAAAATACTGTATCAAAGTAGAAACCACATAAAGGCAAATCATGCTATATAAAAAAGAAAAAAGCAAAAGATTTGTGAGTAATCATTCTGGGAAGTGAGTAATCATTCTGTCGTGGCTCAGTCGATTAAGGCAGTGTCTGGGATGCTCCCGGATGCAGGTTCGAATCCTCGTCACGGCCCTTGTGGATTTGTTCATTCTGGGAAGACTTTAGTGCTAACATAGACCACAGTAAAGTAGTTACTTCAGCTGCAAGAAAAAATGACACGCTGAAAAACAAGATCCTTTCAAGCAGCAACCCGTTCTCGCAAATTCGTAAAGTCAATATTGACTTATTAACTACGTGCATAGGTGATGTACTAAACATAATAGATACCCCTAAAAAGATTCATAAAAAACACCGACCTTACCTAACCTTGTTAGTATCTTAAGATAAGCATCTTATTGCTTCGTAATTACAATTATTACTTAACCTATACCTATTATAGGTTAGGTAATAATTGTAATTACGAAGCAATAAGATGCTTATCTTAAGATACTAACAAGGTTAGGTAAGGTCGGTGTTTTCTATGAATCTTTTTAAGGGTATCTATTATGTTAAGTCTGTTACCTATGCACATATTTAATAAGTCAATATTGACTTATTAAATTTGCGAGAACGGGTTGCAAGCAGAAGATGCCTGACCAAGGAAGATACTTTTTTAAGACACTAGTGTTCTCATTGTGGAACACTGTTGCACATCAACAGCCCTATTCAAAGCTGCAGAGTTGCTGACCTAAAGAACATGAAAAGATCATTTTACTGCCAAAATCTATTCGACAACACATCTAAATCATTGGGGTCACTTAAAATCTCTAAATCTGTATTCTCCACAGTGCAGATTTAAATACTTTGACCATGAGGTCCGACTAGACAGTCATACTGAAAGTGCACACACCTGGCTCCATCTTAATGTGGCGCTGCTGGCTCTCGTGAAGCATGATGGTCTCCAGGCACTGGCTCGGGAGGAGTGCCACCGGAGAGTCGCCTTCGGCCTCCATGGGTGGGTGCAGTGGAGGTGACGAATCTCCACCCACTGAGTCACCCCTTGTGCGGTACTGTCTGTGGGTTGCAGTGTTGAGAGAACCCAAATTTGAGATAAACATATGCATTGCAATACACTAATGACAAACACATAAATGACCATTGTAGAATGCTACTGTACCACTAAGTTCAAAACTGGGACAGATATCAAATAGTTACACAAAAGTCCATAGTTCCAAACCACCAACTGTAGCATGTTAAATTCCACCCACAACAAACTGGTTCAATTAACACCTCTTTTTAAATTTATAACCGTTGCTCTATTGTCATTGTTAAGGTATGTCGTAATTCAAAACAGGGTTTAAGTTCAACACTCATAGTGTGTCAAGATAACATTTATGAAATGTTATAGTTAGCTGAAGGGCATGAAAAGATAACATTTATGCAATGTTATAGTTAGCTGAAGGGCATGAAAAGATATCATTTATGCAATGTTATAGTTAGCTGAAGGGCATGAAAAGATAACATTTATGAAATGTTATAGTTAGCTGAAGGGCATGAAAAGATAACATTTATGAAATGTTATAGTTAGCTGAAGGGCATGAAAAGACAACATTTATGAAATGTTATAGTTAGCTGAAGGGCATGAAAAGACAACATTTATGAAATGTTATAGTTAGCTGAAGGGCATGAAAAGATAACATTTATGAAATGTTATAGTTAGCTGAAGGGCATGAAAAGATAACATTTATGAAATGTTATAGTTAGCTGAAGGGCATGAAAAGATAACATTTATGAAATGTTATAGTTAGCTGAAGGGCATGAAAAGATAACATTTATGAAATGTTATAGTTAGCTGAAGGGTATGAAAAGATAATATTTATGAAATGTTATAGTTAGCTGAAGGGCATGAAAAGATAACATTTATGAAATGTTATAGTTAGCTGAAGGGCATGAAAAGATAACATTTATGCAATGTTATAGTTAGCTGAAGGGCATGAAAAGACAACATTTATGCAATGTTATAGTTAGCTGAAGGGCATGAAAAGATAACATTTATGAAATGTTATAGTTAGCTGAAGGGCATGAAAAGATAACATTTATGAAATGTTATAGTTAGCTGAAGGGCATGAAAAGATAACATTTATGAAATGTTATAGTTAGCTGAAGGGCATGAAAAGATAACATTTATGAAATGTTATAGTTAGCTGAAGGGCATGAAAAGATAACATTTATGCAATGTTATAGTTAGCTGAAGGGCATGAAAAGATAACATTTATGAAATGTTATAGTTAGCTGAAGGGCATGAAAAGATAACATTTATGAAATGTTATAGTTAGCTGAAGGGCATGAAAAGATAACATTTATGCAATGTTATAGTTAGCTGAAGGGCATGAAAAGACAACATTTATGCAATGTTATAGTTAGCTGAAGGGCATGAAAAGATAACATTTATGAAATGTTATAGTTAGCTGAAGGGCATGAAAAGATATCATTTATGCAATGTTATAGTTAGCTGAAGGGCATGAAAAGACAACATTTATGCAATGTTATAGTTAGTTGGAGGGGAAGAACCTCTGAATAGTATGCAAAGTAGGCCGACAAAAACACCAGTGCATTAAAGGACAAGTTATAATTCATGTCATTTTGCTTGGTGCCGCAGTAAGCTTTCACACGGTTCAGTAAAGCTTTATCAAGTCAGACAAAATATACAACAAACATTAGTTTACATATACAAATACCATAAAGAAGAGTAATATTCAGCAGTAATGTAAGGCGGGTTTGTGAGAGAAGTTAGAGGGAATATCGTTTTATGTTTTTTAAATTTCTAAGCGGAATAAAAAACTTTTTAATAACTTATCAAAAAACATTTGTAAATAACCTAACCTATACAATGTGAAGTGAAATAAAAGTGATTACATTTTGGTCTGTCTTGGACCCTCATCAAGTCCTGACCAAGGAATAAGGGTCCAGAACTGACCAAAACCTCGTCACTTTAATTTCATTTCATTTGTGTGGGGAGGAAGGCTCCCGAGAGCCACCAAAGCCTTCCCCAGTGTACCTGGCAGGGAGGAAGGCTCCCGAGAGCCACCAAAGCCTTCCCCAGTGTACCTGGTGGGGAGGAAGGCTCCAGAGAGCCACCAAAGCCTTCCCCAGTGTGCCTGGTGGGGAGGAAGGCCCCAGAGAGCCACCAAAGCCTTCCCCAATAACAATTTTTTTTTTAACATTTTTACCAAATATAAATAATATAAGAAGAAGAAAACACATGCATCTACATCTATATCTTCCCTGCATCTACAATTTAATACCATGTTTTCCGACATGTAAGATGCACTACAGTATTTTACAAAGAAACTGTATGAAACTAATTCATTTGTTTCATTATACACTTACTGACAGTGAGGTTCAAATAATTTTGTAGAAGAAAACCCCCCCCCCATGATTTTGGTGGTGAACCAAAAAGTGTCCCCACTTACCGGAAAATACAGTACTGTTCTTACCAATCAGGCACCAAATAAGACACAAGAAGAGGGGTTCTTACCTGTCCAGAGCATGTTTTGCCCGGTACTTCATGTTCTCCCAGGCTTTTCTAAGTTCAGGGGCAGTGCGGGTGGTAACTGTTGGAGAGTTATTGAACGAGGTGGCAATCTTCTCCCACTGTCTTCGTCTCTCCTTTGTCGAGGTGCCATCAGTGTTCTGAGCCTTGAGAATCCCCTCGTGTGCCGTCACGAGGCTGCGAAGCAAAAGGCGCTCTTCTTCTGTAAAGATTCGCCTTCTGCCATCGGACGCTGGCTGGTTCATCTTCTGCCAGCACGCGTGTTTCGATAGCCGGATCCACTTCGAATTTTCTAGTCATATATCGACACAATTCAAATTCACATTTTGGTAGAAAATCATTGGCCAGTTCAACTCTAGTGCACAAACATGGGCATAACTAAAGGTCCCAATCAATGAGGACCCTGAAATACACAACTCGTTTCCATCATACGGGCTGAAGTCAGTTTCAAAATGGCCAAACAGAACACCTTCAGAAAACATTATAAGACAAAGCTGCACTCACTAGTCCTGTATACGTTTTCCACATAATCTTACAACTTAACACGAGTATCTTAAAGTATATAATTCCACCTGAAAAGTTTAATATTATGCAACTCATTCATTAAAACACACACTGTCAAGCCTGGGCAGCACATACTACCACAGATACAGAATGGTACTGCTACCACAGATACAGAATGGTACTGCTCAATGATCTCTCTGTTTACATGTTCACGGACAACACCATTGGTTGAGATCTACACAAGTGTTGTACTGCTGTCAAGGAAAGAGTGCAGTATACAAATGATAAATGACAAGTGTGTGTAGCAAATCAATTACATATATTGTAATAATGTTACTGGGATTCATAGACTGCCATGGACGAGGCAATACTGTACTTGTCGAGACTACGGTTGCTTATGAGTGGAGTGCGGGATAATTACACCAGACTCAAATTAATTTTGTGTCAAGAATGAGTTTTCAAACACTTGGATGTTTGTTTTCAAACATTAACAAGATAAAAAACAAAAATGGTTGGTCTGAAGGTGTTACATGAGAGCAGACCCGTGGTCTTGGACCCGGGCCTCACTTGACAAAGGTGTTACATGAGAGCAGACCCGAGGTCTTGGACCCGGGCCTCACTTGACAAAGGTGTTACATGAGAGCAGACCCATGGTCTTGGACCCGGGCCTCACTTGACAAAGGTGTTACATGAGAGCAGACCCGTGGTCTTGGACCCGGGCCTCACTTGACAAAGGTGTTACATGAGAGCAGACCCGTGGTCTTGGACCCGGGCCTCACTTGACAAAGGTGTTACATGAGAGCAGACCCGTGGTCTTGGACCCGGGCCTCACTTGACAAAGGTGTCACACGAGAGCAGACCCGAGGTCTTGGACCCGGGCCTCACTTGACAAATCAGTTTATTGAGAGCACTGAACAGCAATTAACTGATCAATAGTTCCTTTGATGCTGTAAGATGATCACCGACAATACATGAACAAAAAAAACCCAGTTGTAACAATTTTAGGAAACAAGGGGGAACTTTTGACAAACCACCAGCTTCCTGTCCCCATCAAGGATACTAGAGATATAATGGCTCAAGCAAATTCAGGTAAAATTCAACATTCCTTTGGGTTAGAATTACAAACATTAACTCAACGCCCCAACAAACGATGGCCGACGTCTGACGAGGGATCGAACGTTGCTTCATTCACTGCTTTTCACACGAACCAGAATGACAATATGTCAGATTTGAGTACTGTACAGTACACAGCTGTTCCATGTTCTTCTCTAAGGTTCACCTCTAGCATTTCCTCAGACTCGTGCACTAATTTGAAATCACTCTTAAAGTTCCCACCAATGTAAGTTTCTTGTAGCAACTATTTCACGCGAGTGGCAGTTAAATATGTGCCAGAGTGAGAGCCAAACATGTGCCAGTGACAGCCAAACATGTGCCAGAGTGACAGCCAAACATGTATCAGTGACAGCCAAACATGTGTCAGTGACAGCCAAACATGTGTCAGTGACAGCCAAACATGTGCCAGAGTGACAGCCAAACATGTGTCAGTGAGAGCCAAACATGTGTCAGTGAGAGCCAAACATGTGTCAGTGAGAGCCAACATGTGTCAGTGACAGCCAAACATGTGTCAGTGACAGCCAAACATGTGCCAGAGTGACAGCCAAACATGTGCCAGAGTGACAGCCAAACATGCCAGTGAGAGCCAAACATGTGCCAGAGTGAGAGCCAAACATGTGTCAGTGACAGCCAAACATGTGTCAGTGACAGCCAAACATGTGTCAGTGAGAGCCAAACATGTGCCAGAGTGACAGCCAAACATGTGTCAGTGAGAGCCAAACATGTGCCAGTGAGAGCCAAACATGTGTCAGTGAGAGCCAAACATGTGCCAGAGTGAGAGCCAAACATGTGTCAGTGAGAGCCAAACATGTGCCAGAGTGACAGCCAAACATGTGTCAGTGAGAGCCAAACATGTGCCAGAGTGACAGCCAAACATGTGTCAGTGACAGCCAAACATGTGCCAGAGTGACAGCCAAACATGTGTCAGTGAGAGCCAAACATGTGCCAGAGTGACAGCCAAACATGTGCCAGAGTGAGAGCCAAACATGTGTCAGTGAGAGCCAAACATGTGCCAGTGACAGCCAAACATGTGCCAGTGACAGCCAAACATGTGCCAGAGTGAGAGCCAAACATGTGTCAGTGAGAGCCAAACATGTGCCAGAGTGACAGCCAAACATGTGTCAGTGACAGCCAAACATGTGTCAGTGACAGCCAAACATGTGCCAGAGTGACAGCCAAACATGTGTCAGTGAGAGCCAAACATGTGTCAGTGAGAGCCAAACATGTGTCAGTGAGAGCCAAACATGTGTCAGTGAGAGCCAAACATGTGTCAGTGACAGCCAAACATGTGTCAGTGACAGCCAAACATGTGTCAGTGACAGCCAAACATGTGTCAGTGACAGCCAAACATGTGTCAGTGAGAGCCAAACATGTGTCAGTGAGAGCCAAACATGTGTCAGTGAGAGCCAAACATGTGTCAGTGAGAGCCAAACATGTGCCAGTGAGAGCCAAACATGTGCCAGTGAGAGCCAAACATGTGCCAGAGTGACAGCCAAACATGTGCCAGTGACAGCCAAACATGTGCCAGTGACAGCCAAACATGTGTCAGTGATAGCCAAACATGTGCCAGTGAGAGCCAAACATGTGCCAGAGTGAGAGCCAAACATGTGCCAGAGTGAGAGCCAAACATGTGCCAGTGACAGCCAAACATGTGCCAGTGACAGCCAAACATGTGCCAGTGACAGCCAAACATGTGTCAGTGACAGCCAAACATGTGTCAGTGAGAGCCAAACATGTGTCAATGAGAGCCAAACATGTGCCAGAGTGAGAGCCAAACATGTGCCAGTGAGAGCCAAACATGTGCCAGAGTGAGAGCCAAACATGTGCCAGTGACAGCCAAACATGTGCCAGTGACAGCCAAACATGTGCCAGTGAGAGCCAAACATGTGCCAGTGAGAGCCAAACATGTGCCAGTGACAGCCAAACATGTGTCAGTGAGAGCCAAACATGTGCCAGAGTGAGAGCCAAACATGTGCCAGTGAGAGCCAAACATGTGTCAGTGACAGCCAAACATGTGTCAGTGAGAGCCAAACATGTGCCAGTGAGAGCCAAACATGTGCCAGAGTGAGGGCCAAACATGTGCCAGAGTGAGAGCCAAACATGTGTCAGTGACAGCCAAACATGTGCTAGAGTGAGAGCCAAACATGTGCCAGAGTGAGAGCCAAACATGTGCCAGTGACAGCCAAACATGTGCCAGAGTGAGAGCCAAACATGTGCCAGTGACAGCCAAACATGTGCCAGAGTGACAGCCAAACATGTGTCAGAGTGAGAGCCAAACATGTGTCAGAACAAGATTTTACACAAGGAAATGAGATTCTCTAAAACATCAAATATAAAGTCACTCCTCTTAAGGACAAAAATTACAGAGGGAATTAGATATAGGAACCCCCCCCCCCCCAACTTGACCCAAGGAAAGCAAATTAAGTCAGAAATACACATGGAAAGGAACATTATTAAGGAATATATATTTTCAAGAAATTTGTTTATTTTTAATTTTAAACCTGTCCTGCTCACAAAAATTAAATTCTCAAAGGGGAAGTTGACTAGACTTTGAAGGCCGATACCATCAAGGAATTATAATTTATTCTGAGAAGGGAATTGGAAACATTGCAGAAACATGAGTGTTGAAACTACAAAGAAAGTCCAGCATGTTTACCTGCTGCTGTGCATAAACGACCCTTACTGTGATTCACAAATCTCCAATATGGCTGTATAGTCCAGTCACCTCATATATATTCATGCTCAAATTCTGCTCCATTTGTAAGTCAGGCTTAAAATCTTCAGGGTTGAAGCAATTTTCGGAGATAATTGTGCTGCCAAAACCCCTTAGTGGCTTCTTCATATGAAGCTTCAACGAGCTAAGTCTTCTCGGGTATTAGACCCTCCTTTAGGATTTAAAACAAACTTTTCCATCACTCATTTGGACCTTATCATTTTGATTCCCAAATCCAAGACAGTGAGCCAAACTAAGAAGCGGTAAGCCTGTCGCCCCACCACACAACTGAACCAATCCCTGAACCCCGGATGGTGCCATTCTGATGCCCAAATCCAAGACAGTGAGGCAAACTATGACAAATATTTGTCATAGTTTGCATCAATGCAAAATTTCCAACCGTGCAGCCTAATTTTAACACTTGCTCCCAAGCTCCCAAACTCACAGTGCTATTAATAGGAAAGCTTGACAAAGAGCCACTATAAATTGAGAGAAAGTAAGACAAATACGCCACATCAATATCCAGATGCAATCGGCTCTTAGTAGGCCTATTATTCCAGTAGACAGAGACAGGTTTAGGGAAAAAGAGTTCAGATTCTGCACGTCATCCCGTCGTCAAGAGCAAACCCTTTGACAGAAAATGCTGATCAAAATCAGTAATATTTTTATGAATTTAGGATACAGGTCTAAAAGATGCAGACCCCAAGCCCAGTGTCTCACTCCTCTCTCCAAGCCCAGTGACTCACTCCTCTCTCTCCAAGCCCAGTGTCTCACTCCTCTCTCCCCAAGCCCAGTGTCTCACTCCTCTCCCCAAGCCCAGTGTCTCACTCCTCTCTCTCCAAGCCCAGTGTCTCACTCCTCTCTCTCTCCAAGCCCAGTGACTCACTCCTCTCTCTCTCCAAGCCCAGTGACTCACTCCTCTCTCTCCAAGCCCAGTGTCTCACTCCTCTCTCTCCAAGCCCAGTGTCTCACTCCTCTCTCTCCAAGCCCAGTGACTCACTCCTCTCTCTCCAAGCCCAGTGACTCACTCCTCTCTCCAAGCCCAGTGTCTCACTCCTCTCTCCAAGCCCAGTGTCTCACTCCTCTCTCTCCAAGCCCAGTGTCTCACTCCTCTCTCTCCAAGCCCAGTATCTCACTCCTCTCCCCAAGCCCAGTGCCTGACACCCCT